CGTTACCGCCCAGAGCAAAGCGCAGAGCAGCGCACCGGGGGCTGCGGCCGCCCCCCCGGCCATGGCCCCGCGTGTGCCGCCGGAGCGGGCTCCCGGTCCGCCTCTCCCCGGCGGTGCGGGCGTCCGGGTACTTTATTTGCGGTGAGAATCACTAGCGCGGCCACACGCACCGGCGAGGGGGAGGCGGGAGGCAGCGAGGCCCGGACGCGCCCCCGCCCCCCCACCGCCCGGGGGTGCCGAGCAACTTGCCCCGGGAAAGGACCCTCCGCCAACCGGCTGCCGGGAGGAGAGAAGGGAGGAGAAAGGGAGGGAAGGGAGGCAGGCGGCTGGCCCCTGGAGGAGGGTCTCCGTGTGCCCGGCCCCAAATTCTGAGCCGGCCCTCGCCGTCAGTTGTCAGGGAGCTTTTCACCTTTGGGACGTGTGCTGTGAGTTTAGGGCCACAAGGGTACGAGGGAACAGTGCCACGGCAGTGGAGCTGCGGGGCTTCAACACCCCCAGCCCACTATGTTCTCACCTTGTCCTCTGCCAGCTTGCTGGAGTGATGATGGGTGCTTGGAATATGTTTCGCACAAAGCCATCCCAGACTTCTCAGCTGGTAACAGCTCTAAAGGTGTGAAAGGCTGCAGAAAGATGTCATTCCGTTAGTTCAAGAATGCCTCGTTCCATTCTATGTTATTTAAGCAGTTCGTGAAACTGCTACAAAAATCACCATGATAATCAACCTTTTCAGCCAGATGAGAGTGATACTGTTAGGCCAGGGGTCTCTCTCCCCCTGCTTTCCCCTCTTATGTTCTGTTGAAAACGTGTCTGAGAAATGTGTCAGACCCCAAAGTGGAGGGATGGACTTTTAAGTCAAAGAGCATTACCAGAAAGCAACCTGAAAGCTTCTTCAGGCTGAAGGCAAATTCATAGAAGATGTGATTTTATAAAGCCAGCCTGCATTCTCTAGTTATGTTGTCTTTGGCCACAGAGGCTGTCCGAGCAATGGGGTTTCTTGACAAGAGTGAGTGATTTCCTGAGGGTCGCTCTTCAGAGGAAGAGGAGAATTTGTAAAGCTCAGCAGAACGGCTCAGCTTACATTATGCTGTTATTTTGATCTTTGGGCATTCGTGCAGTTTCTGCCAAGAGCAAACAAATACAAAAATTGTCAGTGATTTATTTTGGTCTTGAAGTGGGCTGCCATTAAGCCACCCTGCCTTCCGTCAGAGTTCTAAGAAATAGTGGCATGAAGGCAAGTCCCCCACACGAGAGATGTACAGAAAGATGGCCATTCTAACACCAAGAGTGCCTTTAGGCCTGCAATGTTGTGCTGTGCCGACCAGAACCTGTGCAGTGCCACAGACAAAAGCCTCAGAGAGCAGAAAGAGTTAAGGCAAAGCAAAAGCATGCCTTTGCCATGCCAGGATGCTCAGGGCAATGTGACAGGTGGTATGAGGCCAGTATTCTGAATACCAAGAGAGCATTGGCACCTACTGATAGTTTTGGGGTCATTTAGTGTTGTGTATATTTCAGATCAGTAGATCAGTAGGGAATCAGTGTACTGTCTTCTGTGTTGCACTGACCATATGATAAATAAGTGGTCTCTATAGAGTCGACACTTCCAGTGCCGAATTACAGATTTCTTCAATTACTTCCCATGAATGGATGTATGTTTTGATATCCTACAGAGGACTACACATTTATTCTTCTCCCTGGGGCTGCCCAGGGAAATGGTGGACTCACCATCCCTGAAGGTGTTGAAGAAATATGTAGATGAGGCACTAAGCGACATGATTTATGGGGCATGGTGGGGATGGGTCTTTTCCAACCTTAATGATACTATGATTCTAAGTTTAAAGACAGGTCAATTCCATCATCCAATTCACTAATTAAAATAATCAATCTTAGCAGACAGATCAGATCTTTTAATTTGTTATATCTTCCTATTGTCTGGAAAATACCAATTTACCAAAATTACATTTTGGGAGTTGCTGTTTAATCACGCACTCCTTTCGTGTTAATTCCAATTGGAACCTTACTTGCTTTTGTGAGGATGGTGTTCAGTGCAATGACAAAAGCCTTACTAAAGTCCAAACGTTTCATCTGTTTCTTTCAGCACTTCCTAAGTCAGTTATCTCTGCAAAGCAATAAATTAGGTTACTCTGACATGATTTGTTCTGGACAAATGCGCACTGCCTGTTTCTCATCACTTTATTGTTATTTGGTTGCTCGCCTGCTGATTACTGAACAGGTTGTTTCATTATCTTTCCAGATAACATGGAGCCTGGCTGATTTATATCTCTTCCCTCAGCCCTGTTGCTAAAGTAGCCTATTTGCCCTTTTCATGTCCACCTAGATCTTGCTCTTGAATGACAGCATGTGTTTTGGAAGAAATAATGTGTACATATAGAGACAAGAGGCTGATCCAGACAGATCATGGCGTAGGATTGGTGGGAGAGTTCTTACATGTGCCACAGCACACTAGCATCAGAGGACAGGGTGGCCTGAAGATGACAGCTGGGCTCAATATAATGAGTCCAGATTGCCTGGCAAACCATGGCAACGAGGCAGGTCTTTGGTCAGGCCAGGAACTCCATCACGGGTGTCACACAGCTGTAGCTGGAGGACACGCAGTGCCCAGCACCAGAGCCATGGTGTAAGTACAGCACCCATGGGAAGGCAGAGGCCAGCCCTCTCTGAAGCCTTCCTGCAGCACTGCCTCCAGGGTCATTAGAGCAAAGCAGGGTAGCCCTAGGCTGCACTGTGTCTGCTTTGGCACCAAGCCTGGGGTGTCAGACCTCCAGGAGAGGGCATGCTCTCAGGGTCATTTCCTCTGGAGGTGTGCTGGGCCACATATCTCCTCACATGACCCTTTCTCCCAACTTAGCAAAGACCAAAGAAGGAGGTACTACAGTGAAGCAGAGGCTCACAAGAGAGTCATTGCTGGTTGGTGTGCTTTTTGTTTCTTTGTTTGTTTTGCTGTAGCAAAACAGCAAAAGTAGAAAGTCTCAATGCTTTGGGAGAAAACAACAAAACAAAACTGTAAGGAAGCAGTATTTCTCCTAGTAACGAGTGCTGCCAAACAGCCAGGATAGGGGAAAGATCTCAATTCCAAAAGAATTTTCCCAAACTACACCATTTTGGAAAGAGAAAGATTTTAAATATATAACCAACCAAACTGGTTGGAAACTTGAGGGTCTTAAATCACTGCTTTCTGTGTATGTAGTCTCTGTTTCATAAGCTTCATTATGAGCAAATAGATGTAGGTATTCAGCTGGCTTCTGCGGAGATAATGGATCATTTTCAGACACTGTTGTAAATGCAGTGTGAAATAAAACAAGGAAGGGTAGACGGGCTTCTAGGACATCTGATAGAATATCATAGAATATCGCAAGTTGGATGGGATGTACAAAGATCTTTGAGTCCAAAGCACACGAGGAGCACAGAGACCTGCTCTCCATTCTTACATAGGTGGCTGAACGAGGAGTGTCTCTGCAAGCTTACATGAGGTATTTAGCAGTTACACTTACATGTAATTAATAATAGCAGAGAGACTTACGAGCTTTCAGAGTACATGCTACGTTGATCTAATTGTGCTGTGATCTCTTTCTCTCTTTTCAATACTACTTGTTCTTTCTAAGCCACACTAGGACAGAATTCCAGATGTGTCTTTAATTTACATTTTTGTGTTACAGATTTTCAAATAAACAAAGAGTAACCAACCCAATACATTGCCTTACACGTATGCCTAGGATTAGAGGTTTCTTTTACTACAGACTGAAGTCTGATATTCAGCCTCAGGTTGCATATGGAAATTGAATTTCAGGTGCAACCTCCTGCGTAAAGAACGCCCCGGGCACATTTGCAGCACTTCAGCAAAGGCAATCGCTGCTAGCATTTTGCTATCACCCTTTTTCTCCCTTTGTAATTCCCCTCTTCTTCTTGTGTTGCATGTCAAGCAATTCCTTTCCTCAGCTCGTTCAACGCTGCCATCTGCATCTTCACAGCAGGATTGATGAAGCTGGAATTAGATCCATGAGGATTCGACACCATCAGATCTTGGTGAAAGGAAATTTATTTTTAATTAAGGAAGGATTTTTGACTGAAAAGCTGATAAACCCTACATCTTCTCTTTCCACACGCAACAGACACAGTATTAAGCTCACACTGTAACACAGAATGTTAACTCCGAGCCTTCAAAATAATTTATGTCTCTACCTACGTGACCCAGTGAAGCAGATCACAGAATCACAAAATGCCTTAGGTTGGAAGGGACCTTAAAGATCCTCTTGTTCCAACCCCCTGTCGTGGCATATTTGTGGGGCAAGTCTAAAGGAAATGCTCTGCACTTGGTCATAAGGTAAATAAATGAGTGTTAACAGCCGGTTACTTTGTGGGAGTTGGACATTCCTTGGGTAGGGAGGTGCACGCTTCCTTGGTGGCACCACTAGTGAGTTCTGTTTGTTAAAACACAACCCGCTGCCACTCCTTAACGTTACGTTTCCTTCATTTAAGAGCTTGTGTGAAGTTCTGCTCTTAATTGCTTCTTAATTATCTTAATTAAGATTTGAAATACATCTGGAAACTTCCAAATCTCTCTGACAGGGGCACCACAAGTTGTCCTGGGGTGGTGTTTGCAGTGAAGAAAGATGGTAATTGGCATAAATGAGCAGGATTGGCGTGAGAGAGGGAAGAAGTGGCCCAGCCGCTCGCTCAGGGGCATCTCCTCGTGCTACGAGGCGCCCGTCAGGGGCTTTCCTCATAGAAAACCCAGAGCATAGGGAGGCGGCGGCATGAGGTGCGGGTGAGCCAGAACGTGAAGAAGCGCGACCGGGGGTAACGAAGATGACTTTTCGGCGGAGGTCGCCGAGCGTCAAGGCGCCGCCCTAAGGGGAGCCGGCGGTGGCGCAAGGCGGGGCCAGCCGCCGCCACGTTCCACCCCTCGGGGCGCGGCGAACAGCTCCGTCCCTGTGGCAACGGAGAGAGGGTGCGCGCGCGGCCCGCTCGAGCCGCCGGCGGGGCGGCCATGTCGCTGCTGAGCGGGCCCCGACCGCGGCTCCGCGGCGCTGCCAGGAAGGGACCGAGGAAAGCGACGGCGGCCAAGCGGGATTGGGACGTAAGTGCTGTCTGCGACGGGAGCGGCCTGCTCGGCGCCGGGCAGGGCGGGCTCCGTGCGGGGCTAGGGGAGCCTTGTGTGGCGGCTCGTGGGCGCCGAGCCGCCCGATCCGGCCGTGAGCGGTTGGGGAAAACCTGGGGGGGGCTCTGGGCGGGAGCGAGCCAGCCACCATCAGTACTTGCACAGCCAGCTCCCCTCCTCGTTCCCCTTCCCTGCGGAGGCTTAGTTGTGTGGGGTGGTTTTCCCGTCCAATCTTTTTCACCGGCCTGGATTGAGCAGGGCGAATTAGGAGTTCCTGAAAGTTTAGATATTGATGCATACGGTTGTGTTATTTTTATCCTTTTTCTCCTCTTTAATTGCTTTTGTTGTCTTCTCTTGTTCCTTTGTGCAGAGTACTGTCCATGATTTGACGGTTCACCGTGCAACTCCTGAGGACATCGTAAGTGTAACGTCTGAGCTGGTTCTACAAGTGGTTGTTTTGATGGCCTCCAGGCAGCTACATTAGCAAGCACTTTCGTGTTTGTATTTAAACTATATACATATATCAGCGTTAGAAGAAGAGTGAGAATTTCACTGATGATTGACACGAGCATTAAATGGGGAAAATGCAACGGCTTTCTACGTGGGAATGTTTGTGCGTTTGTTCTCTGTTGAGAAAACTCTTGATTTAGTGGTGGTGGGCGGATGGAAGCTGTGAGGCTTCCTCCATTCACCTTTGAAACTACTTTAAACATGGCTAGTGTTGGTAGCATTTGACACTTGAGGATGTTTATGAGTTTTTTGTTTGTACTACCATGAAATAAAACAACCACCATGTTGTAAAATCAAGATAGAAGAGTTGTCATCATGGTCTTACTGGTTTTTCTTTTACATTGTGCTTTCATTTTAAACTAGTTTCTTTCATGCTTACATAGCTGCGTCGCCATGAAATACACAAATCAAAAAACAAAGCACTGGCACATCTGGAACTGCAAGAGAAGGCACTGAGAAGAAAATGGAAGAAGCACAAACAGTTGGCCCCTGATTCGTTGGAGAAAAGGAAATTGGCCCTGATGCATGAGGTAAGAGCAAAATCTGTGCTTTCAGCCTGCTGCAAATGATTTGCAGTAGTAGTAGAAAACTGCTTTTGCACATCAGTGAAAATCAGTTCCTCTTTTTGTATAGTTGGCCTTCATGCGTGCATACTTTCTTTCTCCTCTACATGCGGTAGCTTGACATAGACTGTGTAACATCTTACCTGTACAGTTAGAGTATCTGTATGGACTGTCTACACCCTCTGTAACCTGCAGGTCTCTTTGCATCTGCACAGGAACTGTTTGCAGAGTTAAACTCTGTGCTGTGAAAAGGATGCGCATTCTTTGTGTCCTCAGTTCTATCTTGCCTCCTTTTCTCCCTACCTAGTATTTTTCTTTGTTTGATGAACACATGAACATTTATAGTTTTGAGAAGGACATCCTTGTCTGCCATTCCTTATTGACACGGGAAATGCAGGGGACCAAAAGGTGAAAGGCAAGAAGTGGAGAACGAAGAGCTTGTCTGGAAGGAAAGATGATGAAACAAAGGTTGAGTTGGCTGGCAGACAGATCTGTCAACTGAGAGTATAAATGTTTGTTTACTAGGCAGTCTGAATTATTCTCACTGAAAATACTGTTTAAATTGCTTTTGAACTTTCTACAATAGCAGCAAAACTAAGTTTAGCTTGCAGAGAAAGAGGCTTTCAGCGGCTGACAATAGATGTCTCTGTTAAATACCATCTTTCTGTTTCACACAGCAGGATACTACTTGCCAAATGTCATGAAAACTAGTCTCAAAATATAATAGCTTTGAAACTTCATCAGCACTTGGACAAACCCAAAGTTAGTCTTGTTCATTATCGTTCAGTGTCAACAGTGTTCTGGCAGATAAAGCAATGATGTACTAATTCAGCAGTCCTGCATATGCACAGTAGGTTAACCGTCAAAGACTTCTATTTCTCATCTTGTTTTTGTACATTTTCAGAAATCTTGCTGTGAACTTTGAGAACACTGAAGCATAGACAAAAACAAATGAAAGTATTAGGTTTTAAAAATCACCTACTAGATTGATATTTAATACCTTTTTTGTCTCCAGCCACAACAAAATTTATGTTAGGGGTATTTGTAGCCAAGAATTACTTTGATTTAAACATTTGTTATTTTCATGCTTTTATACCAAGTCCATTTCAGGGTAGTATTCTAGGAAAAAACCTATAGGCTTTTATACATGATTCCCTGGTGCAGGCTAGATCCAAGAAAAATTCCTTCAAGAGATACATATACCAAATACAGGTAGGACCACAAGCTCTTAAGTGTGTTTGGACTACTTAATATACGACTTGGTTGTTTCACACATTTGGAATGGTTTTCTGTATTTCTTGCCATTTGTAATGATATTGCACTAATTTTAATTCCTCCTGAGCAGATTTCTCCCTTGTATTTAAAAGAGTACTTACTTTTAATCAGCATATTCTGTGTCTACTTTTGAATCTGAGAAAAAACTGTTCTAAATAGGAAGACGTAAGATGATTCCAGACAAAATGAAACACATGCTGCTGTTGCTTCTTGCTGTACTGGCATCTTCTTGAATGTGAATTATAAATATGGAGAAGAGTCACTATTTTCCTCTATCCCCAAGTTAAATTCTGTTAGTCACTGGTCCTGTTGTTCAGAGTAATTGAAGAACTTCTTCAACTTGCATTTTCCAGTGCAGCATAAGCACTGTGGGTTATCTCCTTGCTTCTGTTATTCAGTGATTTTTGTTTACTTTTGCAAGATCTCAAGCCCCTTTAATCTTAATCAACTGGAGGCAAAATTTAGGAAGATGCTGCCTGTAGCATATCTTTTCTTGTATCTATATGTTGAAGGGAGAGTAAAAGTTACCAAATGGATGAGCTTAACTTTCAGCTTTTGAGGGAGGGACTTGCTAAAATTCTGAAGGAAAAATTATATGACTTTCATTTCAATTACTGAATTGTGAGTGGTCCTGCAGCCTGTTTCTAAAATAATGTCAGTGCATTACACTGAAGGGTACATAGTGAATTTATTAGTGTAGTTGAGAAGGTTAGGATTAGTCCTGTTTAATTATCTTCAGTAACATTCTGAATTTTAATGAAATTTGTGAGTGCTATTAAAGTGGGAGAAGGTACAGCACACAGTGAGTGTGTTGAGGGAGTGTAAATGGGCCTGGATCTGCTGATCGCAAACAAATGTAAGCTAACTTACCTTAGGAACCACGGTCTAAATAAATGTTCTTAAATGTGAGCAGAAGAGCAAAGCTTTGGAACCTAATAATGCTGAGCTAGTAGGGAGCACGAAAACAAATTAGTCAAGATCAGTTTTGTTGGAGTAAGTGTGTCACTGTAGTTTTCATTTCTTTGGGCAAAGGAGTCATGTTTTGGAATAGGTAAGCATTCTTACTTTTTTTCCTGTTTGGCCTTGCGTGACATTATCTAAAAACGTGCTTGATTTTAACATTAGATGGCTAAATGCAAAGTTAGTATCGAGGGTAAAAAGTAAATGGTGATTTGGGGATTTAAATACATGATTACAAGAGGTGAATGTTCATTGGTTTGCTAAATTGATGATGAGGAAAAGTGATACGTTGCAGTGTAATTCAGTCTCAAAAGACTAGACAAATGTGTAAATGAGCCTTGCGGACATCCAGGTCGGTACAGAAGGAGGGCAGGAGATGCACCGCGTGAGGAGCACAAGTTACATGCAGCCTCAGGAGAGGCCTATGGTGGAGCAGGCTGTTCCCCCTGCTGCCCATTGGGTGCTACGTCAGGCAGGTCTCCATGTGCAGCTGATGGAGGAGCCCATGGTACAGCAAGTGGATGTGGCCTGAGGGAGGCTGAGGCTGTAGTGAGCCCCTGTAGGAGCAGGCACCAGGCCAGAGCTGCTGCCCATGAAGAGGTGCCCACAGTGGAGCAGGAGGTCTGGGCTTGCTGCCACCTGTAGAGACATGTATGGAGCAGTTCCTGAAGGGATGGCCCTGTGGTATGGAGCTGTGCTGGAGCAGTGCTTGAAGAGCTAAAGCTTGAGGGAAGGCCACGCAGGATCAGTTTGGGAAGGATGGTGTCCTCTGGAAAGGACCTTGAGTGGAATAGGAGGACGCTGGAATGTGAAGATGAAAGAGCAGCAGATATGAGTGATGCTATGGACTGACACAACCCACACTCACCATCTGCTTTGGCTGCTCAGGGAGAAGAAATTGAAGAAGGTGGATGAGGGGAAGGTGTTTTTTCTTTGCTTTTAGTTCTCACTGCTCTCCATTTCTAGCTTAATGAATGAAACTACTAGTTGGTGAGTTTAGAATTGTGTTCTGCCCACAGGAGACATTTTTCCATCAACTTCTGTTCAGTTAGCAGTAGCTGAATGTCCTTTTAAACTCAAGAAACTTCCCTCCCTAGGAGGCAGCTTTCATGGTTGCAGTAATGGACTTCAGATAGTGGGAGAGGGAGATACCTTGAATATAGAAGCTGTATCTTTGAGAAATGTGTGGACATGGCCAAAGCATTTTGTATTGCCAGATGCAGCCACCTGTATTTATGTCTGCTGAAGTTTGTATGAAGGTATGAAGCTTAATTTGAGGCAGGATTTCCAGTAATCAAGACTGAATGAAACAGTCTGAAATCATTTGGATCTAATCAACTAGTTCAGTTCTTGGTTGTCTGTCAGATGAGTCAGTGTTGACACTTCTGGAGAGATAACAGTTTAACTTTTCAGAAAAATGAGGTGAATTCTAGTCATTTGGAACAGATTACAGTTTTCTTATCTCTCTTAATTAGGACCTAGCCACACAGTATCTACTTTGTAAACACTACCACCTTAGCTGGTCTTTTGCTAGCTGTTTTGAAGAGCAGTACTCAAAAACAAAGGAAAAATCATTCTGCACAGTGTGAAATATTTCCTTGTATGCTATACTTTCAGATTCTCTCTGATCAATACGATTTGCAAGATGTACTGAAACGGTCTGATCAGGTTATGGCTGTGGTAAAAGACTTGTTTGGGAATGCCCCTCGCATGCGAACAGGTAAGCTATCTCATTTGTATGTGACAGTGCATTCAAGACTAACTTCTTGCTTCTCATAATCTTGAGTTACAAAGTATTCTTTGTAACTGTTTTTGCCTGATGTGATATGACTGATCCTGTTTATGTTGGATGAAACACAAATAAGGATAATATCTAATGTGGCAGGAGAGAGTGAACTGTGGCTGGTTGTTCCACTGTACCACTCCATAGTGGAATTTCTGATCACTTATTCTAAAATACCTGATGCTGATTTCTGCAACCAAGTTACCAACCAATACAGAGTACCAGTTTTTGCCAGGGTAGTAGTTCTGATTCTTGTTGCTACCCAGTTTGCCTCGTTGTTCTTAGGTATTGTTGAAGATATATCAGCAACGTGTGAATAAATCTTTTCCATTTCTTATCCTGGTTTATGAATCCTTACACTTCTGAAAAGGATTGGCCATTTGCATGTGAGATGTTAAGCTTATCTTTTGTCTTCAGGCTGCATTTCTCTTTTGCATTTAATGACTATTCCGAATGACGTGCTTTTTCTGCACTAGTTTATTTACACAGCTGAGAAGTACAGGAGCCTGATGGTGGTGGAGCAGCCTAGGTGGTTGAATGTACTGAGATAATTCTACAGTCTTTGTCAGTTATTCTGAACAACGCCCATCATTGTGACCACTTCTGTGCAAAATGCAGGAATTTACATTTTGGTACTTAGTCCTATCATGTACTGACTCAGCCCTTTCTGTTCTTCCCTGTTTTGTCTGATTCCTCTAGGTTTCCCTAATGTAACAGTGGCTCCTAACTGTGACTTAGAATCATCTCAGGGACCCATCATACAAAAATGGGAACCTCCCACTCAGCTTTCCATCCTTAGTGAATCTGTCATGGATTCCCAGGTAATTAATTTATATGTATGGTTCCATGTTTCTTGTTTGCACAAAATAGGGATATTCAAAGGTAAGTGTTTCTAAAGCAGACCTAAACATTTCTTCTGTGTACTGTATACAGTGCTAATAACAAGCAGAGAAAACTGCATTAAATTGACATGAATTTGTTTTGAGAGTCTGGGAATCATTAACTTTTTTATTTCTTAACCTTTGAGTAGAAGAAACTTTTTAAATCTCACAATAGCAAGCTCTCCCTTTTAAATTCTGGAATTTCCAGTATGAGAGTGAAGTAAGTGCAGGCTTAAAAAAAATCCAACAGCCCAACTCTGGTATCACTTAGACTTAATTGGTATCCATTCAAATATGCCTATGACTTTTTCTACTTGTGTCTACATATATGGATGTGTAGCCAACTGGGCTGCAGTTTATATCTGATCACGCACATGTTTATGTATCCCAGGTAATTCCAAAACGTTGATCAGTCCTATAGGTTTTATTTTTAATACCTCACGTTATTGTGCAATTATTTAGTTTGTGTAAAAGCTTAATGCTTGTTTAAATTTATTCAGAATTTTATTTAGAGTGCCTGAAGTGTTCTCATAGCATGACTTACAGCAGGAATGCATACTTTGGTTTGAGAAGTGTAATGTGACACTACTGAAAAGTAGCTCAATCTGATGAATAACAAAAGAGCTGTGGAACTAAAAGTGCTGGTGTCATATTTTCATGTTTCCCTATTCCTGTATTTTATTATCTTGCACAAATGTCTGCATTCAGAATTGTAGCAGTGTTCATGTAGTCAGATAATTTCAGTGTGTGCAGTTTTTGTTTTGTTTTGCTTTGCTTTTATAATGAAAAAATAACTGTAGCATCACTGAGTTGTATCACTGGATGCATGCAGTGGGACAGGCATAGATTTTTAGAAGAAAATAGTACTGATAGATGTCTGCCTGAGTGTCTCTGAGATTTTCTTTTCCTTATATTCCTGTGAAAATCCCAGTTAAATGCTATCTGGTGAGGCGCACCCAGAAGGGCAGAAACCTGGTAGTTTGAGGAACACTAATTCCAAATTTGATTTGCTTTATGTGAATATGGTATGTGGGACTGTATTTGTTGTTTGTGTTTTACACATAGAATATAGACGTATAATTATGCAAATCTCATGATAAGGTTGTTTAGTTTGTAGTATCAAGTGACTGAAATTTTAGAAATACATAGCCTTATATATATATATATTATTATATATAATTTTTTTTTTTATTATATATAATTTTTTTTCCATCTTACTCCTACTATTGAGCAAGGACTTGCTGGACAAACTGAGGGATAAAAACAGAAAGTATAGGCAACGGAAGCAAGGATGGGTGACCTGTGAAGAATATGGGGTTGCTGTCCAGTTGTGCAGAGATGAGATCAGGAAAGCCAAGGTGCAGATGTAATTAAACATTGTGAGATATGTAAAATAACAAGGGTTTCTTTAGATGCATTAGTCAGAAGAGACAGGCAAAGGAGACTGTACCCCCTCTGGTAAATGAGAAGGAAGAACTGGCTTCAGTTGATGTGGAAGAGGCTGAGGTGAGGTAAAGATGAGTTCTTTACTTCGATCTTTGCTGCCAGTCAAGCTTTCAATGCCTGTCATGTTTCTGAACCTCCAGAGGGGTTTAGGTGTGTCACGGAGTTGTCTAGATCAATCCATGCCCATGAGAGGGGGCAGCAGGCCCATGGGTCCCTCAGCCCAAAAATGGGAAGGGAAAAGGGAAGGTTAGGGAGATCGGAGCTGGGCCCAAAAACAGAACAGCAGCAATGATCTAAGGAGGAAACCTAATTTTACTAAACATATCAGAATGCAAGATAATACAGTACAATACAATATGATTGGAATTGAAGCTAATAAATAAAATAAGAGAGAGAGTATCAGAAACTGAAAGCCTTACTTTGAAGTGAAGGTGCACGGCTTGGGAGCACACCCACACACTGCCAGGCAGTGAACGAGAGTAAGAGATCCCATGACTTACCTTCCTCTCTGAATGTGAAGTCCTCTGAGATAAGTAGTTCTTCTCTTTTGAGAACCAGGAATCTGAAAGGTTGTCAGTACATGGAACTGGAGTATTAACTCTTTAATTCCCCATGCTTTACATGATGTTATGATGTGGAATACCAATAACAAAATTATAAAACCATGACAAGGGGAGTGAAATCCCTCCTGTGTTAAGAACAGAGCAAGTCTGAGATTGCCTATTGAGGCTGAATGTATGACTGTGTCAGCAGCAAGGGAAGAGCTACTGTCTGGAATTCAGTAAGGCCTTTGACATGGTTCCCCATAGCATCCTTCTTTCTGAATTAGGAAAGTATGGATTTGATGGGTGGACTGGTTGATAGACAAATAGTTGTAAGATCGTACCCAGAGAGAAGTGGTCAACGGCACAATGGAAATACAGGCCATTAAGCCTCATATGTGTGTATAGAAAGATATTGGAGCAGATCCTCCTCGAAGAGAAGATAAGGCACATGTAAGATCAGCAGGTGGTCTGAGCCAGACAGCATGACTTCACCAAGGGCAGATTGGACTGATCAACCTCATGGCCTTCAGTGAAGGACTGACAGCATCAGTGGACAGAGGAAGAGCAAATGAGGTAATCCACCTGGACTTCTGCAAGGCCTTTGACATAGTCCCACACTACATCCTTATTTCCATATTGGAGAGATACGGATTTGAAGGGCAGACTATCCAGTGGATAAGGAGTTGGCTGGCTGGTTGCAGCCAGAGGGTTGTAGTCAATGGCCCTACATCCAGGTGGAGAACGGTCATAAGTGCTGTGCCCCAGGAGTCCATCTTGGGACTGGTACTCTTCAACATCTTTATCAACAACACAGACAGTAGGATTGAATGCACCCTCAGCAAGCTTGCTGATGACACCAAGCGAAGTAGCGTAGTTGATGCTGCAGCCGGCAGAGATGCCGCCCTGTGAAACCTGCACAGGCTAGAGAAGTGGGCCGACATCAACCTAGTGAGGTTCCACAAGGCAAGAGCAATGTGTTGCACCTGGTTTGTTACAGTCCCAGATTAGGTTTACGCACTGGGAGAACTCATTAAAAGCAGACCTGTGGAGAAGAGCCTGGGGATTAAGATTAAAAGCTTAACGTGAGCTAGGAACGTGCTCTTGCAGCCCAGAAGGCCAAACGCATCCAGGGCTACAAAAAGAGGATTGGACAGCAGGGAGGGGAGGTGACTGTTCACCTCTGTTCTGCCCTCAGGAGGACCCAGCCCAAGAAGGATGCAGAGTTTCTGGAGCAGGTCCAAAAGGAGGGCCACAAAGACGATCGGAGGACTAGAGAACGTCTCCTAGGAAGACAGGTTGGGGGAGATGGGTTTGTTTAGCCTGGGGAAGAGAAAGCTCCAAGGAGAGCTCTTGGCATGCTTTCACTGCCTGGAGGGAGCTTATAAAAAGGGATATCCAAGCCACAAGCCATGAATTTCTCCAGGAAAAAGGAGCAGCCCGTAGTCGGCAGGATTCGAACCTGCGCGGGCAGAACCCAATGGATTTCTAGTCCATCGCCTTAACCACTCGGCCACGACTACTGCATGTCATGGGTGTGCACCGTCTGCCTCGAGGAACGCTATGAAATTGAGAGCAATTTGTGGATTGAGTGACTGGATGACACCGTGGTCAACCTCACCTCGTGGGAGGCACCCTGGCCCATAGCCACAGGGTTGGAGCGAGGTGGTATCTAAGGTCATTTCTGCTATGAAGGAGAGCATTGGGATTTAGCTAACGTACTCTGCTGCATCTGTTGAGGGTGCAAGAACTGCCTTAATCTTTTTCACAGTTTCTCAAAGGCCCTCTGAATCCATGAGTCACTCCTTCATCTCAAATAGCTTTGGGTTAGAGATAATTTTTTTTTTAATTAAAAATTCCACACAGCTTGCAGGTATTGTCTTTGTGGGATTGCATTCATCTGCAGCTCTGCATTGCTGTTGTCAGCACTACACGTTGTTCTTGCTTAAGATGAAGTTGTTGGTATAAATGGAAGAAGAAAGCCAAGGAATCTCTCAAAGAAAAAAAAAAAAAGTAGGATTTGGGTACACTTTTGTAGACCCAATCGTATCATTTTGAGTGAAAGAAGAAAATAAATTTGTCAACAAAGCTGTAGTTATTATCCTGCTACAATTCTGAACATACGTAAAAAATTAAATTCAAAAATATTCCCATTAATATTTTTTGTGAATAGTCACCAGGAGTCTTTCACTGTAGTCATCTCCTCCCTTTTCATTAGGGATTCCTGTTTCTAACAAGCTGAGCTTTACCTGCTAGTTGCATACAATTCAAGTAAGTAATAATAATTAGACTTCAAAGTAAAATAACAAGGAGCCAGGGAAGATCAATGTTGATTACTCTACAGTAATTTTATATCCTTCTACATTCATTATATGGAAGGAACTCAAAGTCTTCTCACCTCTTTGAGGTAGCGCATCAAACGACAGAGAGCATTCACCAGTGACGAGGTAAATCCGGTGATGCCTTCACTTTTCTGCAGTTTTCTAACCTCACGGCCTGTACATCGCTCATATTCCTCTAATTCATGCTCCACTTCATGTATCATGCAGCTGAGAACATCTAGGCTGGATTTACTGTCCCTCTGAAGGTCCATGGGGATGGAATAAGCAGGAGAATCATCTCTCCTCTGCCTTGTAGAGTTCTGTGCAGTTTGTTTCCTTTTCACTAGGGAAAAAAAAAAAGTCATTGAAATTTCAATTTATATAGAAAGCTTTGCAAGTAAGAATGAAATTATATTGTTTACTGAAATATATCAAAGGAGCTGCACTGAGCTGTAATGGACCGTCAAAGAGTGCCCCCAGACATTCCAGTTATTTTCAATAATCCAAAAATACACTTTACGCCACCACGTCGATTCCACTCAAGTTTCACTGGTGCATTTATCTTAGACATCTATTTTTGCTTTTCTTCTTTCAAATTAGAAGCACAGAAACAGTTTGCTAGTGATCATCCAGTGAAAAACATCAGCTGCTTTCAGGTCTTGTATTTACTAACTTTTACAACAATCTTTTCATGATAGTAGTTGTATATAGGGATTGGCAACAGGTATAAATGATGTGCAGAATAAGGAGATGAAAATTTGTAATATATCTGTGCAACATAGAACAGAAAGTTGTAAAAGAAATAGAAAAGCACCACAAAGGAGAGAACTCTACGCCCAGCAAGAAAACGGGTTGCATCACAGAATTGTATTTATGGTTTCCTCCTTCCTATGGACTTTGCTTTGTCACTGGAATATACTACATAAGGGTTGCAGAATGTCAACCTTTACAAATTCTCAAAACCTCGGTAGTTGAGCCCCCCCAGAACCTTTGAGTTAGCTCTCCTCTGAGCAGGGAGCATGAGTAGATGACCTCCAAAGATCCCCTTTCAAGACACATTTTCCCATGATAGTAAGGACCTTGGTCAAAGCAAGAATGCTGTTTTTGAAAGTACTAAACTTTTTGCTGAAATTTGCTTTTCTTTGCTTGAGTTTGGGTTCAGCACTTGTCTCACAGTATAAGCAGTGTCTACGGTCTCTTCTTCATCTTGATTCTGATGTCTTGAATGGATTCTCTTGACTACACTGGAAGCATTGAGGGCTGATTTAAATACAAAGCAAAAAAAAACACACATAAAATTTCAGTTATGTTCTCAATAGTGCTACGTTATAAAGACATTATAAATACTAGAAAATTAGGCTTCTTAGTGTGAAAATTCATCTAAGCCAAATTAACACATCTCTATTTCTCATCTCAACCCAGATAAGGAACTTGAGACAGGGTCCTGTAAACAGCTTAACAACCCTTGAGAGGCTGTGATTAAGCAAATCCAACCTGAATGTTCCAATGATGAAGATGGAATTGTTGGAGTCAAAGGTATTTCCTGTGGTACAGTAGTTTTTCTCAAATCTCTTTCAGCCCACAACGCAGAATTTTCTGAGGAATTTTCTTCTCTCAATATACGAAGTAGCCTATATTCAAAACAAGCATAACAATTAATCACGATATAGTAGCATGACTTGAGATTACTTCTGCAATCTACAAGAAGTTTTTTCTCCGTGACTACTCAGGGGAGCTCTCCATTCAAGCTCATTCACAGGTTTAAGATTAGCACAAAGGCTTCCTTAGAATTCTGAGATCAATAAAGTAGTGTGGGGGGAACAAAAACAAAAATCACGCAAACAGGAAACAAACCACGCAAAACTGAGTTAACTATTCTCATACAACATCTTCTAACACCGTTATAACTCAGCCTATTTAACACTAACTTCCAGTATTAAAAGGGTAAAAACTTAAATGGACATACTTGCACTGACCTGTCACAATTGATACTGGACTTGAAATTCAGAGATTCGTGCTGTCCATTTTCTGATTGCCATATGGACAATGCCTCCTCTTCTTCCCCCTCATTAAGAGCCTTTTTTGAGACAATGAGATAAAAAAGACCTCAGAGTAACTTCAAACAGTCTCTAGGAAGAAGTTAGATATCAGATGCAGTGCTGACAACAGCAATGCAGAGCTGCAGATGAAAGCAATCCCACAAAGACAATACCTGCAAGCTGTGTGGAATTTTTCATTAAAAAAAAAAATTATCTCTAACCCAAAGATATTCAAGATGCAGGAGTGACTCATGGAGGGGAGGACTCATTCAGAGGGCCTTTGAGAAACTGTGAAAAAGATTAAGGCAGTTCTTGCACCCTCAACAGATGCAGCAGAGTACGTTAGCTAAATCCCAATGCTCTCCTTCATAGCAGAAATGACCTTAGATACCACCTCGCTCCAACCCTGTGGCTATGGGCCAGGGTGCCTCCCACGAGGTGAGGTTGACCACGGTGTCATCCAGTCACTCAATCCACAAATTGCTCTCAATTTCATAGCGTTCCTCGAGGCAGACGGTGCACACCCATGACATGCAGTAGTCGTGGCCGAGTGGTTAAGGCGATGGACTAGAAATCCATTGGGTTCTGCCCGCGCAGGTTCGAATCCTGCCGACTACGGGCTGCTCCTTTTTCCTGGAGAAATTCATGGCTTGTGGCTTGGATATCCCTTTTTATAAGCTCCCTCCAGGCAGTGAAAGCATGCCAAGAGCTCTCCTTGGAGCTTTCTCTTCCCCAGGCTAAACAAACCCATCTCCCCCAACCTGTCTTCCTAGGAGACGTTCTCTAGTCCTCCGATCGTCTTTGTGGCCCTCCTTTTGGACCTGCTCCAGAAACTCTGCATCCTTCTTGGGCTGGGTCCTCCTGAGGGCAGAACAGAGGTGAACAGTCACCTCCCCTCCCTGCTGTCCAGTCCTCTTTTTGTAGTCCTGGATGCATTTGGCCTTCTGGGCTGCAAGAGCACGTTCCTAGCTCACGTTAAGCTTTTAATCTACCTGGATCCCCAGGCTCTTCTCCACAGGGCTGTTTTTAATGAGTTCTCCCAGTGAGTAAACCTAATCTGGGACTGTAACAAACCAGGTGCAACACATTGCTCTTGCCTTGTGGAACCTCACTAGGTTGATGTCGGCCCACTTCTCTAGCCTGTGCAGGTTTCACAGGGCGGCATCTCTGCCGGCTGCAGCATCAACTACGCTACTTCGCTTGGTGTCATCAGCAAGCTTGCTGAGGGTGCGTTCAATCCTACTGTCTGTGTTGTTGATAAAGATGTTGAAGAGTACCAGTCCCAAGATGGACTCCTGGGGCACAGCACTTATGACCGTTCTCCACCTGGATGTAGGGCCATTGACTACAACCCTCTGGCTGCAACCAGCCAGCCAACTCCTTATCCACTGGATAGTCTGCCCTTCAAATCTGTATCTCTCCAATATGGAGATAAGGATGTAGTGTGGGACTATGTCAAAGGCCTTGCAGTAGTCCAGGTAGATGACATGGACCTGTCTCCTCTTCCTTGGTAATGCAGTCACTCCTTCATGGTAGGCCACCGGTTTGATCAGATACCATCTGCCTTTAGTGAAGCTGTGCTGGCTACTTTGGGTCAACTCCTCTTTCTGCGTGTACTTTAACATAGCTTACTGAAGGATCTGAGGTAAGGCTCACTAGATCTCTCCTCTTTGGCTTCCTTTTTCAGGTTGAATAGTCACTGGAAAAAAGTGAAAAGTGTTTTTGTATTAAATGTAGCTCATAACACTTGTTCTGTGTTAAAATTGCACTTTGGAAGCAGAGTATGAAATTTGTTGAGGTTTTTTTTTTCTTTTTTTTTTTTTTGTGCAGTTACAGGGAAGGATCTTTTTATACCACCAGTGATGTGTTTTCTGTTTAGTAGGAAAGCATCAACTTAATAGTATCTAATTCATGTTATAATTATAATATAATTTTCATCCTTGTTCCTCGAGGCAGACGGTGCACACCCATGACGTGCAGTAGTCGTGGCCGAGTGGTTAAGGCGATGGACTAGAAATCCATTGGGTTCTGCCCGCGCAGGTTCGAATCCTGCCGACTACGGGCTGCTCCTTTTTCCTGGGGAAACTCATGGCTTGTAGCTTAGATAGGTGTGCAGTTCTCTGGGTAAAAAGCTGCCTGGATGCCTGGGCCCGAGGAATTGTGGCGAATGGATTTATATCCAGCTGGAGGCTGGTCAGAGGTGGTGTCCCATAGGACTTGATACAAAGAGTGGCAAAACTGATGAGTTGTCTAAAGAGGAAGTCTTTATGAGGAGCAGCTGAGGGAACTGGGGTTGTTTAGCCTTGGGAAAAGGAGACCTTGTTGTCCTCCTCATCTACCTCAAAGGAAGTTGTAGTGAGATGGGGTTTGTTTTCAGTTCCATGCAGTGAGTGAGAGGACAAGAGGTAATGGTTTCAGGTTGCATGAGGGAGGTTTAGGTTGGATACTAGGAAAAATTTCTTCACTGAGAGGGTTGTGAAGCACCTGGACAGGCTGCTCAGTGAAATAGTTGAGTCCCCATCCTTAGAGATGTCTGAAAAATGTGCTGACTAGGGATGTAGTGTAATAATACAGTTGACAGTACTAAGTTAGCGCTGAGTTAAGTCATAGGTCTTTTCCAAACTAAATGATTCTATGAGTCTGTTATCTTCACTGTCTATTCCTCTTCTCGTGTGGCTTTAAATTATGTTTAGCGTTTGCAAATTCGCTGGGAAGATGTATAGCTTCTCTGGTTTTTTTTGTTTTGTTTTGTTTTGTTTTTTTTTTGTTTTTAACCCAGTGCCTGCGATGCTAGGAATAAAAGTGTTTGTGTGCACCATCTTGCCTCCACAATAGTATTAGTAAATATCCAAGGTCAGCATTAGGTAGGTGGCAATATGTTTCAAGATAACAAATCGGTATTGGCTATTTAAGATGTCTCTGATTTCAGGTAAGCAACCAGTCTTCAAGACATACTGAAGCCTATCAGAAAATTCCCCTTTCTGAGGAGAAAAAGATTTCCCAGTTTTGCTGCAGAAAAGCCAAACACAGTTGATGATAAAACTTGTTGCTTGATTTATTCTCAAAATGATAATAAAAATTAGGAGGAAAACCTTGAATTAGTGAATCTTGCATGAAAATTGTATTAATGATTTTAAGATATCAACTACTAAAAGAAGAGAATAGTGAATATGAAAGAAGCTAGGGGAAAAAAAAAAAGCGCCTGCTGAAATGTTTGACTACAGATAGGAAATTCTTAAAGCAAAGCAGATAAACCTGACTTAAATTACAAGTCTTGGGTTGGAAGGAACCTCAAAGTCCATCCAGTTCAAACCCTGTGCCATGTGTGGGGTTGTCAGCCATTAGATAAGCGCCCAGGGCTCCATCCAAACTAGCCTTGAACAGCTTCAGAAATGAGACATCCACAACTTCTTATTCAGCAGCGGTGAAACTTCACCCTGAGTACTGTACTCAGTTTTGGGCCCCTCATAGACATCAAGGCCATGGAGCATGCCCAGAGAAGGGCTGCAAAATGGGTGGGGACTGGATCACAAGTCTTACAATGAGCAGCTTAGGGAACTGGGATTGTTTGGAGGAGAGGAGGCTCAAGAGACATTATAGCTCTGTAGAAGCACCTGGAAAGAGGTGGTGGCAAGGAGGGGGTCAGCCTCTTCTCCTGTTTAACTAGTGACAGAACTAGAGGGAATGGCCTCAGGTTGTGACAAGAGATTTAGGTTGGACTTTAGGAAAGATTTCCTCTAAAGAGTAGTTAGGCATTGGAATGGGCTGCCCAGGAAGGTGGCTGAGTCACCATCCATGGAGGCTTTCAAGTAACATTTAGATGGTGCTGTAAGGGACGTGGTTTAGTGGGGAAATATTGGTGGTATGTGGGCAGTTGAACTGCATCATCTTGGAGGTCTTTTCCAACCTTGGTGATTTTGATTCTCTGATCAGTCTGTTCCAATGCTTCACCCTCTGAGTAAAGAGTATCCTCCAAACCATCTAATCTAAATCTCTTTTTTTAATTTAAAACTATTCCCCCTTGTCCTATCACTACCTGCCCATGTAAAAAGTCCTCTTCCAGTTCCTCTTCAAACTGTATAACTGTTGGAAAAAAATGTTTTAAAATCTTTCTCAGGGTGTTTAATGATACAAAAAAAAAAAAAAAATTGAAATTCTATTTCTTTGTTTATTTCCTGTAGGGACGTGCAGTAACTTACTCCTGTGCCACGCGGTATTCAATTTACATGCAAGAAATTACTTTGATTAAGACCTGTGTTGTAAGCAAACAGTAAATATTCAATTCGGGAGTGAGAAGCCACTATTTCCAGAAGATGGGCCTTGGCTGAGAAGAGCTTATGTTTTAAATGCAGCTCTTAACACTCATTCTTTGTTAAAGTTGCAGTGCTTGAGCAGGATAATAAATTTAGAGTTTGTGCAGTTACAGGGAAGGACATTTTTGGACTATAGAGGGAGAGATCCCAATTTAGTAGGAAAACATCAAATTCATGCTATAATTGCATTTATAACACTATTTAGTTTCTCCTTATGTTCTATAGAAGTTAGTTAATGCCAATCTTCATAATTCTTTCAAAACTGCTTATGAATTTTAAATGTAGCAGCTAAGAAAGAAAGATAGGACATCTACAAAGTAATCATCCAATACATCTTAAAGGCCAAGGAATCTGTTTTTGTAGAGGCTACTGTGTTGTGAAAGACGTATCCTGACTCTGTGTTTCTAATTTTTACTAAGTACCTCTTTTTTAATCTGATGTTGTCATTTCTTCCTTCCAGGAGTTGATTGATTGCATGCAAAATCATCTTCAGCTTGTAAAAGTGTACTGTCCAAATTCATAAGTAGAAATGGGCAGCAGTTACTCAAGCTACAAAGTGCGCTTGATTGTCTTTGTTGTTCCTCGAGGCAGACGGTGCACACCCATGACGTGCAGTAGTCGTGGCCGAGTGGTTAAGGCGATGGACTAGAAATCCATTGGGTTCTGCCCGCGCAGGTTCGAATCCTGCCGACTACGGGCTGCTCCTTTTTCCTGGAGAAACTCATGGCTTGTAGCTTAGATAGGTGTGCAGTTCTCTGGGTAAAAAGCTGCCTGGGTGCCTGGGCCCGAGGAATTGTGGCGAATGGATTTATATCCACTTGGAGGCTGGTCACGAGAGATGTGTCCAGGGATTCAATACCTGGAACAGTTCTTCTAAATATCTTCATTAAAGATCTGAACATGGGTTCCTAATTAAGTCTAAATGTCATCTGCTGTCCTGGCTGAACAAGGAGGTTTTGCTGATAGTCTGGGGGAAAAACGAGTTTACCATCTTTGGAAGAAAGGTCAGTCTACTCAGAAAGAGTATGAGGATGTTGCTGTGGTATGCATGGGGAAAATTAGAAAGGCCCAGCAAGAACTTAATCTGGCCATGATCGTTGAAGATAACAAAAAATATTTTTATGAATATATAAACAGCAAGAGGAGGACCAAGGAGAGTCTCCCACCTTTATTTGGTGCAGCAGGGAACATTATCACTGAAGACAAGGAAAAGGTTTATGTTCTCAGTGGTTTCTGCTGTCTTTCATAGTCAGGCCAGTTATCTTCAGAGTACTCAGCTTTCTGAGCTGGAAGACAGGGATGGGGAACTGAATAAGCTTTCCGTAATTCAGAAGGGGAAACAGTTTAGCAACGTGCTACTTGATCTGGACTGTCACAAATCCATAGGACCAGATAGGATCCATCTGAGGGTACTGAGGGAGCTGGTGGAAGTGATTGCTAAGCTGTTTTCATCATTTATGAGCAGTCCTGGTCAACTGGGGAGGTCCCAGATAGTGGGAGACTTGCAAATGTGATGCCCATCTACAGAAGGGGTCAGAAGGAGGATCAGGGCAACTGCAGTCCTGTCAGCTTGACCTCAGTATTCGGAAAGCTTGTGGAGAAGACCATCTTGACTGTGATCATGTGGCAAGCGCAGAACAACCAAGGGATCAGTTGTAGCCAGCATGAAAGGCAGGTCCTACTTGACCAGCCTCATCTTTTATGACTAGATTACCTGCCTAGTGGATGAGGCTGTGGACATAGTCTACCTGGACTTCAGTAAAGCATTTGACACTATCTCCCACAGCATCCTTCTGGAGGTGCTGGCAGCTCATGGCTAGAGCTGGACAAATGTATTCTTTGCTAGGTAAAAAACTGGCTGGATGTCTGGGCCCAGAGAGTGGTGATGAATGGAGTTAAATCCAGCTGGTGAGTGGTCACTAGTGGTATTCCTCAAAGGTCAGTATTGGGGTCAGCCCTGTTTATTATTTTTATTGATGATGTGAACAAGAGGATTGAGTATAGACGCAGAAGTTTGCAGATGATGTGAAGCTGGGAGCAAGTGTTGATCTTCCTGAGGGTAGAAAGGCTCTGCAGGGGGATCTGGATTGTCTGAATCGATGGGCTGAGGCCGATTGTATGACCTTTTAACAAAGTCAGTTACAGGGTCCTGTGTTTTGGTTAGAACAGCAGGCTGGCCCAGGCGTCATTACAGGCTTGGAGCAGAAAGCTGTGTAGGAGGAAAAGGATCTGCGTATGTTAGTTGACAGCAAACTGAGTATGAGCCAGCAGTGTGCCCAGTTGGCCAAGAAAGCCAGTGGGCATCCTGGCTGGTATTAGAAATAGTGTAGACAGCAGACCAGGGAGGTGATTGTCTCCCCTGTACTCAAGTGCACCTTGTATACTGCATTCAGTTCTGGGCCCCTCACTACCAGAAAGACATTGAGGCCCTGAGAGCGTGTCCAGAGAAGGGCAGCTAAGTTAGTGGAGGGTCTGGAGCACAAGTCTGATGGGGGGTGGCTGAAGGAAGTGGGACTGAAGAAGAGGAGGCTCAGGGGATATCTTATTGCTCTCTACAATTCCCTGTAAGGAGGTTTTAGCAAGGTGAGAGTCGGTCTCTTTTCTCAGGTAACAACGATAGGATGAGAAGTAATGGCTTTAAGTTGCAGTGGGGGAGCTTCCATTTTGATATTAGGAAAAAATGTCTTCTCAGAAAGAAGAGTGAAGCGTTGGAACAGGCTGCCCAGGGAGATGGTTAATCCACCGTTCCCACAACAGGGTGAATGTGGCACTGAGTAATGTGGTTTAGTGGGCATGATGGTAATGAGTTGATGGTTGGACTAAGATGATCTTAAAGGTCTTTTCCAACCTAACAAGTCTATAAAATGTTAGAATTTTACTTTTTTTTTTTCCTTGCCATTCTTCAAGACATTATTCCTTCACAAGACACAGGGGATGAATACATAGCAAGATGCATTCATGTAATGTGTGCATACTCATATGTTCTCTGTCTCTGCTTCTGTGTATTCTGCTGCAGTGTTAAAACAAGTTTATGTGATTGGGGTACTCCTGGCAGTAGGCTGGAATGAAGACAGTTCTTTCAGGATATAGCAGACTTACATTCTGTCTGATGATAGGAATTTCAGTAGTTATGATGATATATATAGTAGTTAGCTGACAGTGTCCCCATACATAAATGTAAGATGCGTATCTGTGTGGAATCTTTTCCTCTTAGACTAATTTGACTAAATTAACTAAATAAGATTCATTATCATTGTATTGTTAGAAGTTGCAGTAGCTCTTCCACTCACTTGGAGGCATCCATATAGGCTTCATCACTGCTGCCAGGGTTGGAGTTCTTATTTTGTGCTTTCTCTGGTTTCTGAAAAGGTAGGGTTTTGTTTGTTTACATTTGCTACGTCAGTTTGCTGCACTTGCGTCAGTGTGAAAAATCTGTTCTGTCAACCTGGAAGAGAACTAGAAAATGGTTAGACCATCTGATTGGCTTAGGTGGGACGTATCTGGGTGTCTCTAGTAACAATTACTCTGGTTTATTCTCAAAAATACCTACTCCTTCATTCATTCTTTGTAGCTGCAGAGCTGTTTTGCCCTCATGCTTGGTGTTTTTCCACATCCGATACCGATGCTAATAATAAATAATCTACAGTCCATGACAGGCAGCTCTTGTAATTCTGCCTGCACAGAGAAGAGGACCCAAACTGCTTTTCAGGATCCTTTTGGAGATGGGATGTATGTCTTTTATTCAAGAATTTCTTTGAGTAAATGCAGGCTACCGTTTGTGGTATGGGCTCATTTCCTAATTCTGATGTATCTGATGCTCTGTAAAACATCTGCTCTGCTAGCTGGGGTAAAAATGGCAGTCGTGTGGTTTGTGTACTCAGTATGGGTGGGAGGGAGTCTCGGGTGTTTTGTCATGTACAGGAAGCCTGTCTGCTGCTGTACCTACCTTAAAAAATTGTAGATCAGCTGTGTCTTTTGAGGGTGAATGATTCTTTACAGTGAGGTCTTTTTGCCTTGTGTTCCAGAAGATTCCTCAACACTTATCTTTTTAAAAAAAAACAAACCATACAAAAAAAGGAAACTTAGAACTTTTTCTCTCTATGAGAGCAAACACTGAGCTAGTGCTTTCTCTTTTGTTTAGTCAAATCTGTCTTTATTAGTGCATTAAGAAAGACAAAGATAAGGAACAGGGTAGCAAAGGATAGTGACAAGCATTGGTGTACCCAGAATTATTTCATTTCTACATGGAGAAGATTCAGTGCCTTAAAAAATGATGTCCATTCGGGGAGGAAGATGCTTTTTTCTGCCTTTGTTGTTTCAGCCTATAAAAGTTGCAAGGATTTAAAGGATTCCCTCTGGTGTTGTGGAGTAACAAACAACAGTAAGGTCACTGAGGGTTCTCAAACACTGAAAATCGGATTTTGTAGTGAAGGTACTGCAGTCAGTCAAACAACAGTGGGAAGAGCTGTTACAGAATAATGTGTGTGAGTCATTCCTGTTTTCAAATATTAATTTCTATCATAGGCTTTTAACTTTTTCTCCCTGTTTAGAGTGAAATGCAACTGCATGAGAAAGAGATGATGAGGCAACATCATGAAGAGATGTTGAATGAGCACAGAGAACTAATTGACGCTCTGACTGCTGAAATACTTCTAGTAAGGGAAGAAAACATTGCTATGCAGGTACTAAGCCCCTTTCTCTAACTTGCTAGAATAGTGAGTTTTGCTGCAAGCATATAGACTGAGATGCATTGTCTGTATGTTCAGGAAATAAAATGATAAAATTAAATAAGGAGTCTGAGAATGTCAGCTATGGGACAGGGATGTTTGTAAACATTTTATCTTTATAATGTTTAACTTTAATTCCTGAGAAAATGCTCATTCCCTGCAGCTGACCTTTTTTTTTTTTTATTACATACAATCTAATGATCCGCATCTGCAGCTACTAGAGCTGTGAAATAGAATAAACATAATACTACATTCTCATTTTTTTTCAGTTTGCACTGATGGTAGATTATTGTTTACGTCTGGAATTGAAGCAATAAATCAACTTTGGAGAAGAAATGAGATGATAAGGAGAAGGAAAAATGAGAATTTCTTTGATCCAAGAAAAAAAAATAAAGGATAAATGTAGAGGCATGGATAATTCATACCTCACTGCAATCTCACAAATTCATGCAGAGATATTAAGAGGCCAGATCTCTTCTCAGTGCTGCTTGTGATCTACAGTTCTCTGATTCGTATTGCTAGAATAAAAATCTGTCTCTTTTTTTCCTTAGAAAAAGCTTCAGCAGTACATGATCGAAACAGATGAAAAGATGACCTCTCTCACACAAGCATTTAAAGGCCTCCCTTTGATAGAACCTAGGAGAGAAGACTTAAGTCCAAGCCATTTTGGAATTGCACACAGAAGTCCATCATGCACCCAAGGTAATGTGTATGCATGTGTGAAGGAAATGAGAGGCTACTTTTATTCTTACAGTGGAAAACGTGGTAGTTAACAGATGTCTGTTTGAATAAATGCGTCTTGTGAACTTGAATCTCACTTCTGGAAAGTCATATGCTGTGGGTTCTGCTGCAAGCATAAGCAGTTATCTACAGATTTATTTATTTTTTTAGATTTATTTATTTATTATTGTATGCTGAACTCCATCTATCTCAGTCTGGACTTGAAAGTTATCCATATAAACAACTCCGGACGTTCTAGTGACAAGTCATGTACTTCTTTTGTACAGACGGGGAGTAACCTTTCCCAACAAATGAGGGGCATCCTTTTCCTTACCCCAATAAGATGTAAGGTCAGGTTTGTCCTGAGGGTCTTACAAAAAAAAAAAAATTAAAAAAAAATCCATCTGAAGCAGCATCCTGGATTCCACCTTTCTGTTGCTGAGGCATACTAATAGTTTGAGATAGGTTCTTCCATTAAACGCTGGAGGTCGCTGCTGACCAGAAACAGCAGTTGCTTTGATTTGTGAAGCAATCAAGCACAAGGCTGTTGTTTGATGTTGGTGGATTATATTGGAGGTGAATGACCACTTGAGAGATATGTAATGTATACAGGAAAAGTTAACCTAGTGGCATCCATGGCCGAACTAACCAAATTTATACTTCTAATATTCCTTTACGACTGTGTTTTTTCCCGTTCATCTTTTCTGATCACTTATTTAAATCTATCATTTTTGCTCTCAAGGTCAGTACCTTCTTGTGAATCTGTGATTGCTTGGAGCGTTTTGTGTTCCTTAGTTAAATGCTGTTCATGTGGTGTAAACATCACAGTCAAAAACATTCTTTCTGACTATTTCTGTAGTGTTCTCAAGGAGAAGCCACACACAAGATCATGTCTTTGTGTGACTTCCCTCAGCTTTGTAATAATTAATAACAGAAAAATTCTAAAAACCACCATTAATTCATATTTAACAAGTTTGCAAAAATTCTTCCTTACTGATCTCTCTTCTCAGAAAGTGGCATCTTCCTGAGGGGGAAGCTTCCTGAATTTGGAACAGTATTTCTTCCTTTTGAGTGGCTGAACTCTTCATTCTTCTACCCTTAAGGCTTCTATCTGGTTGCAGAATATTAAAGAGAGTTTATGCACAGTTTCTGCAGTAAAAAAAAAAAGCTAACAACAAACTTCCCTGGAGTGAGGAAGAATGGCTGAAGGAAGAATTAGGAGAAATATTGTGATGAAAAGGAGCTTATGAGGAGGATGCTTTGGAAATGCAGTTCTGTATGGTAAAGCAGAGGAGGAACATCTTTCTTATCGCCTGCCAGGGTCATTATGTAGCGAGTGGAAGATCTTAGATTCCATCTCAGTAATATGAACCATAAACAGTATCTTAGGCAAACAGCTCCTTTCGGCTCTTTGCTTTACAGAGTGCTTTTTGTCTCTTGTATTTTGGGATCACGTGTGTTCTCCCTGAATTTCCAGTAACTTTACTGCTGGGAACAAATATCCTGAGCAAAATCATGAAGGGATAATTCAAATGTAGCACTAAAGAAGCAGTGCATACAAGTATATTAAAATTACTGTGGTCTCACAGCTAGCTGCAGCTTTGAGTTTGTGCATTTCATGCCTTCCTGGTATGTTCAGTGTAGATGATACACAAACTAGTTTTAGTTAAGTACTGAGGAATAGCTCATCTCTTTACTGGAGAGATGTTTTGATTTGAATTAAGTCATAATAAGAGCACCAGAGAATTCGAAAAAGCTTTGAATTTTTCTCCACTCTGCCATGAACAGGGATAGTGTATATTTACTCTCCTGAGCATATTATCAAATGCAGCTTACTTACATACCTGTGCCTCACAAGTCATGTGTCTTTATATCTCATGCATGGGCTACAAACAGATCTCTATCTAATATCCTGAAGTGGGGAGGTTATGTACATAGATTGCTTTGAAAGTAATGCCTCCTACTTATTCCTGTGGAAATGCTACAGATATGAAGAGCTCAATAATGCTGCTTGATAGAGCCAGTTCTCAGCTACAAAATACTACTTGTCAGCATAGTCACCACCATTAGCTGTGCATTTTTGCCAGCAATGAACAAGAGCCTGTATGCCATGCTTGTCAAAATCTGCACTGGCACAATGACCACTGTTGAAACGCACCACTCACCGCCTCACTGTGCTCATATCCACTGTTTGGTCTCCATAAATGTTCAGCAAATTCAGTGAATGTCAGTGTGTGCCTTTGCTTCTGCATGGAGGAATTAACGACACCCCTTTGCTTCGTTTGCACTTCTATGTCAGGCACCATTTTGTCAGGCTGCCCCTCTTGCTGCTATCTGTTACATGGCAATAACACGTAACAGTGTTGGCGAGAAGGTTCAGCCTCTGCTGCTATACCACCAACATCTATCTCTGGCACTGTGGGCCAACAGAAGAAAATAGGAAGCATAACTTTCTGAGCAGAATTTGTATAATAGCAGTATTGGTTTTTTTTCTCCCCACTCTCCTAAACCCAGTGAAAGTTTTGTACCTGGGAATCAGAAGAAAGCTGGGATTGTGTCGGGAACGTGCTCTAGTGTGTCTTTCCAGATACCTAAATGTAAGAATTGTCACTGAGATTTTTCTTTACACAGGTTTTGCACTAACGCTAATTCTGCTGTTCTTTAAATTCTACTCCTGCTTCATCTCTTCCTTTAGAAAAACCTGATCTGAGCTATTTTGAATCCAGGACTGATGAAGGTGAAAGGAAGAATATGCTGAAATTCCCACAGGAAGAACACCCTGTCAGGACTCCTCAGAGGCCATGTGCCCCAGGTGATGCGGCAGCAGGTAGAAGCTGGCCAGCTCAGGTCTTCCAGCCAGCTGTACTGTTGTCACCACCCCGACAGAAGGACAGTCCGGAATTGTCTCCCCTCCACAACAGTGAGATCTCTCTGGCTAAAGTAGATTTGGAAGTCTGTGTAGTGTGTTACTATTTCAATGTCTGAGGCTCATATTACCTTTGGAGTTATTTTCTCTTATTTTATTCTGCCCAGACACCTTGGCCCTATAGCTGGAATATCTTGCTTCTGCACCCAGGGCTTTTCTTTCTGTGCCTGCTAGATTTCCTTCAGACTTTCTGTGTCCTACAGTTCTCCATTTATAGGCTTATCAGTGGCAGTGCAGACTGACATTTTTATCTCGTACTGATTTTTTGATTTGCTGTAGTTCTCTGTCTGTGATTTACAGCACACTGTCTCTGATCTCCATCTGCTGATGGAGTAATACTTTCTCTGTCACCTATGGAACCATGGAGTACTAGAAATCAGCCTGTTCTGCAGACGAAGCAGGATGTCCATAGGTTGCATGGTAGTCATGTGTGTGGTGTGTTCAGAATTTGCTAATGATGACCACAAAAATATCCAACTATTTTTGTTGGCCAGTGTGCTTAGTGGGTTGGTAAATAGTTTGTTGTTATTATAGAAGCCTTGTATTATTGTATTGTACTATTCCAAAAGCTTTGTTACCAGCCCAAATAACTAGCAGAAGGAAAATGCAGATTTGTAGTTTATTGGGTAAGATAATTGGATTGTGGAAAATGGAGGGCTAATTCAGAACTATTCCTTTACTTCTTGTCTGTAGTATTTACAACTGTTTCTCAGCCTGCTGAAAACACTGTGAGAGAGCCATGCAAGGAGAGGAGCTCACCTTCCCCCCTGAAAACGTGGAGCGTGACTGAAGAAAACTATCTCATGTCTCAAAGGCAACCAATTCCTCCTGCAGACAAAGACTTGCAGAGTTCTCAAGAGAAAATCAGTTTGTCCTGCCCTGCTGTCACTACCAAAAATGACATAGTTGGAGAGTTCTCTCAAAGCAGTGATCTGCTGGGACAGATAGCTGAGCTCACACGGCAGAACTCACTAATTAAAGCTCAGCTGAGCAAATTCAGAAGCTTCTCTGAAGACATAAGTGACTGTCTGCCTCAGCCAGACCCAATACAAAATGCAGATTCTTGTCCAGACTCTTCACAAGGGCAGGTGAGAATTAAAAAAAGAAGAAAAAAAAAAAAAAAGGAAGGCTGGATTCCCTTTTTTGTGCATCTGCTTTCCCTTAGCTTACTGGTGTTATAAGTGTTTCTTCCTTGTTTCTTCTTTAAGAAGAGTAGCAGAACAAATGTTCATTCATTCACTTGGAGACTTTGATTTTACTGTTCCCTGAGGTCAACAGTAATTTCTAATATTGGGCCTATGTTATATATGAATGCTTAAAATCTCCAAGTGTGGGGCGGGTTTATAAGTGTTTAAATAAGGTTCTGCTGCACAGAGAGAGATTACTGCATGTCTCTTGTAGCTTGGATAATATTAACAATGAAAAGACAGCAGATAATATTAACAGTGCAAACACTGCATCAACCCACAGATCCCACACCATGTGTCCTTTCTGCTACTGTGATGTAAAAGCTCTTGAAATTTATTTTGCTTAATATCTTGTGAATACATGAAACTAGTAGATATATCTGTTTGGGTCTGTCTTGTCCTGTTGTGCAGTGAAAATCCCAACATTTTTGGGAAAGAATTTCAAGGCTTCAGTTCACACAGGATATATTTAATCTGCAGCTAAATTCAGTGGCACCCCAGTGAGTGGAGTTAACAGCACAAAAACGCCCAATCCCTGTACTTGTTATTGTCTGTTCTTCCTTCATCTGAATTGCTGTTCAGTTAAAGATCCTAAAGATATAAAATTTCCTCATTTTAAATGTAGGCTGAGAATGTGGTCACTTTCTGCATTGTGTTATGTTGTGTAACGTTCAGTAATTCAGTTGTACGAGGATGCAAACTTTTAAAATGTTTTTGTGAAAATAATTACTGGAGGGGAAGGGGTCACATGGATGAAAACCTGATTTAAAGATGAGTTGTAAGATAGTTCTGCTAGAAATCTGCTTTTCTTCCACATTTGCTCTTGAATGCATGGCTTTCTGGTTAAATATTTTCTTAACTGTAGTTAATTGCTGGAGGGTTGTAGGTTTTCTGTCTTTGCTTTGTTATTTGGAATGATACAGATGAGCTCTTCTTCCTATTTGTAGGAAGAGCTGTTTTAAAACGTTGTGTTTAGTCATCTTAAGTTTTTAATTAGAAGTAATTATCCATTTATCTAAGTAGGCTCATGTTGTGGTACCGAAGAGCTTGGAGGAAAGAATAGCAGAGCTGAATCGTCAGAGCACAGAAGCACGTGATAAACTGCTGCAGCTAATAGATCAGCAGAAATTAGCTGCTGCTGATACAGTCTCTCAGAGAATATCTCCAGTTCTGCCCGCATCCCGAAATTGTACTGGTAAGTACCCAGCTTCAGGAGGAACAAAAACCTACTAAAATGTTTTTTCCCTTTTGTGGGAGGTCTCTTCCTTAACTGATTGGATCAGCAGACACAGTCAGCAACGTGCTTTCTATCAGTGTTTGCATGCTACAATCACCCCTCATTTTAGAGGTGATGGATTTCAGACAGTTATGCAAGATACACCAGCTGAACTTCTCCTGAAGTTAGTTTCCTAGCAACTAGTTCAGTGCAAATGTTATGTTTCATGGTCAGTTTGTTCTTTGTTTTGCCCTTGTCTGCAGAACAGTTCTGCTGTGCAGTGACTGAAGGGCAGAACTGTGTGTTGTTGCCAACAGCCAGGAGGGCAGTTCTCAGTGTCTCACATTCTCAATATTTTAATTCTTCTTGCAGCATTTCCATCAATATTTTCTGATAGGCAATCTTTTTTTTTTTTTAAAATACTAAGTATTTACATCAAGCTTCTAAAAGTGATGACAGAGTGATTATCTGTATCTCAACCATGTTTTGGTCTTTTGGGTGCTGTTTCACTTTGCTAAGTTACTGCCTGTGCTAAAAGAAAGAAATAACTGATGTTTCTAGTCATGTGAATAGATGAATTAGTGAAGGGGATGTTTTTGCTGATTCAAGAGCCCTGGATGAGCTGCCATATGTAACTACAAAGAAAAATACCTTCCAGTAGATTAAGTCGTCTTAATCATTTTTTGTGGAGTTACTGTAATTACAGGCAGAACTGTGTCAGCATGTTCACATGTGCTCTGTGTAGGACCCAGACTTTCCTGCTTCCTAAACCTAGAGGATGTATAAAGGATGTATTCCAGGGAAGGACTTGAGGGTGGAGAAGAAGGAGGAGGAGGGGAAACCCTGTGTGTGCACGTGCATGTAGGTGCATATGTAATGGCATGCACAACACTTTTAATGCTTCTGTGGCCGTTGTAACGTAAATCAGCATGGGGAGCAGAATGTAAAGGACAAGAAGTAGAGAAATCTCAAGTCTTAAAGCTGCTGACTAATGCACTGTCTTTTTCAGAGAGCGGATGAGGGTTTGAAAGGACCTTCAGCCTGATGTTGTATGTTTGCTCTGTGTATTCCATGGAATTTTGAAATGGTCTCATCAAAATCAAGCTATTACTTCTTTGCCTAGAAAATGCAAGGAGGACAACTGAAGTGTCTGTTCCTGTGGCAGCTTCTGTGGACAGCTCCAAAGAAGACAGTGTTTCCCCTGGCAGTGTGACCACTATGAGAAGGTAGATGTTGACCTTTTACTGCTTTATATTCACTTGATTACGTACACGGAGAACTCTTATGAAATATAATCATATGTATTTTTTGGCTTCGTGGACTTTCTGGTCCACTTTCATGGACTTATCAAACTCTACTCTTTAGAAGTGGCACAAACATCCCATATCATCTTCAACTTTCATTGTCTGTATTTAAAATACCTGTAGAGTCATGTAAGACTTAATCCATGGGTTGTTGGCTATTGATGAGGGATCCTAAATCAGCATCCTAGACGTGATTCTGATAGTCACTTCCATGTTTTTAATATTTCAATCTCATTTTTAACATCTGCAGGTCTGTAGGAGGCTCTAGCAAACCTTCTTCACCCCTAAGTACCACATCAGAAAGTGTGACGTTAAATCCTGTCAGTCAGAGGCCAAAGGTAAGACAGAAGAATCTTCAGCTAGAAGGCTTGATTGCTGTGCTACATAGGTAGAATGTAAGACAGATAGAGAGGAGGGAGGAACTCAGTCCTACTTTGGATGCACTGATGCTAATGGTAATTGATTCATAGCAGTCTGGATTCTGGATAACTGATAAAGGGAGGCCTGAGTGCTAGTGACGTGAGTTGTTTGCTACCACAGAGCTGTTACTTACAAGTGAGTATTCCTGTAACTGTTTTTTCTGCTGTGGCATCTATTTGTGTTAGAACTGGGAACCTCTGTCAGACTTTGTCAGACTTATGGCTCCAGAGAATTTCAAGTAGTCTTTATAATGTACTGATGGAGCTACATTTAAGAGTCGAGCAAACTCTTACCTAGCAAGTCTGAAAGTTAAATAAATCCAACCTGAAAGAAGATAACGAGTATGGATTTCTAATTCCTGATTTCCAAGAAGAGTAGACTACAGGGAGGTGCTTTCACATGGAAATCCAGACAGTAGTATAGTCTGGTAAAACATTCACAGCTCTGTTAGTAGCAACCATGAGGGGATATTAATACTGGCTTTCCTGATGTCCAAAGTAACCTAAATTAGGAGTCCTAAACTTTATATCCTAATAGAGAAGTAAACATAAAGGTGCTTCAGAATACTGAAGGTGATAAGTGTGACTTAAGCAAGGTCTCTAAAGGTGGTGGTGTGACCATCCCTGCGGTGTCTGTGGCAGAAAATTGCTTCCTATCAGGGAAACAGTGCTAACTAGCAAATCTGTGGGAAGTTTATGATCTATAAATTTCAACTTGTTTCCTCTTTTGCAGGCAGAAAAGCAAAAAGAAGAAGGCTGGTTTGCATTGTCAATGCACATTATGTAAAGGAAGCTGCGCTCAAGTACTATTATTTATTTATTTTATAAACTTTCTTACAAATCACATTTATATCACTGTAGTCTCCCTCTCCGGATGTACGCTTTAACTCTGAAGTGCTTTCCTGTGAATTTAAAAAGGTCAGTAGTGCTTACTGTATTTGTGCCATACAGAATACCGTAGGAAGTCCTGGGGATGAGTTTCCAGAACAGACACACTGCTGTAACGCAACTCCTTTTCGCTCAATAGGTCTTCCGTAAGTTTGTAAACCGGGGCTGGTGTAGCAATGAGCTGTTATTGTATCTGTGGGTTGCATTACATGTACAGGTTGTATTACCTATGCTGAAGAAAAATGATTCAAGAAAACATTTGAGAAACTTGAAATTTCTGCAGCATGTATCTCTACAAGATAAGGGATTGGAAAAAAAAAGAAAAAAAGAAAGGGAAACTGAGATGAGGGACTGCACATACATGTTCAAAAGCAACGTGGGGATCAGGAAGCCAGTCTGTTCCTGCTGGATAAGAATTTGCTTCAGAAATTACTTGCTCCTTCTATGCGTTATAGTTGCCCCCCAAAAAGGTGTTTTCAGTGCAGTTAACATACCAAGGACTGCTTCTGAACTTGAGGATTGCTTTTTTAAAAAAATTAAGTATTTTTTTATAACAAGCATAACTTGACTTGTGGAAGTTGAATTAAAAGTTTCTATTTGTAACATACTGAAGCATCATCTCTGATGCAACAGAAAACTGATGAGAGTGCAATTGTATTAAGGTATTCTGGTGTGTGTGTGTGTGTGTGTGCATACGTATATGTTGTTTGTATGTTGTTTTTATTTGACTTTTTAAAATGGCCATCATTTTAGTATTAATGTTAACCAATAAAATCTAGGATTATCACAAAGTGCTTGTATGCTTAATCCTTACATTGTAGTAATCTCAGGCAAAAACCTTGATAATCTAGATAAAAAATGAAAAAGTCAGCAAGTCTGGATTTGATGAGTAAAGTTGTTTCAATCTTTTTAAAAGTATTACTTTTTTTTTTTTTTTTTTTTAATTGGTGTAATGCCTCTAAGGATATTGGTGGATTGTGGCTTACAGAGAGCACAGTCCATATTCTTTCAATCAGTTCAGTTTTAGAAGGAAGGAAACAATTTCCAGGATACCCAGCCCCGTATTGGACCTTTGCTTTCACAGCTTGAGCAATATGCTGGGGCTGAGGAGAGGCCTCTGATGGGGGAGCAAGGGTTGCAACCAGCACTGCTGACTGTTGCCATGATACCTGCAATATAGGGTTGTGATTCTGCTTGGTATTCTGTTCTAGCCACATGAGGTCCTGAACTCCATCACCTCATAGTTGCTGCAACCGAGGCTGCCCTGGACGTTCACTGCTTCAACCATACCCTCCTTATTAGTGAGAACAAGATCCAGCAGCACTCCTCCCCTAGTTGGTTCATCCACCTTTTGCATCAGGAAGTTATCACCAACACAGTAGAGGAACCTCCTGGTCTGTGGATGGCTGGCTGAGCATGCCTTCCAGCAGATGTCGGGGTAGTTAAAAACCCCCCGTAATCACCAGGGCCTGTAATTGTGAGACTGCTGTCAGCTGCCTGTAGAAGGCCTTGTCAACTTCCTTGTCCTGATCTGGTGGCCTGTAATAGACACCCACAAGAATATCACCTATGCCAGCCTGCCCCTTAATTCTCACCCACAAACTCAACTCGTTCCTCATCTGTCGCCCAAAAATGGAAGAAGAGAAAAATAACTTGCACCTCAGACTCTTTCACCGACCAACCCAAGGCCTTGAAGTCTTATTATATTCCCCTCAGACCATGGGATGCATCTTCCTACCCACTCCTATGGAAAATCAGTAGCGGGTAGCAGTCTGTCGAATGCTGGGGAGCACCTTGGTGATATCCCTGATCTGGGCACCAGGTAGGCTGTAGACTTCCCTATGGTGAGAGTCAACTCTTCATATTGGGCCCTCTGTTCCTCTCAGCAAGGAATTGCCTACTACAATTACCTTCTTGCTTTCTTCTTGGAGGCTGTCTTGAAACATCGTGTCAATTGCCTCTTCCCATCTGACCTGATAGGTGGGCCTTCCACCACATCCTCACCTACCTCTCCTCGTTATCCAGGGCCTCAAACCTATTATGGAGGGACACCTGGGGAAGGGAGGGAGGTAGGTAGGGAGGGGGGTTGCCCACACTGCTCCATGATCTTCCCAGGCACAGAGGTAAGACTCACCAGCCTGTAGTTCCCTAGGTCTTCCTTTCTGCCTTTCTTAAAAATGGGAGTAATGTTTCCCTTTTTCCAGTCACCAGGGACTTCACAGGACAGCCATGATTTTTCAGATATGATGGAGGGCAGCTCAGCAACAGCATCAGTTGTCTCTCTCAGAATCCTAGCATGGATATTACTTGGCCCCATGGACTTATATACTGTACATATTAGATGGAAGTCCATGTGACAGCATAAAGCCGAAGACTTGTTGCTAAGGGATTGTTGGTGTTACTGTTTGTTGGTTGTCTTTTGCTTGTTCTGGACTGCACAACACACAGCAGTTGTAACTGCTAGTAACACATCTGATTTTTCATATGTAGTGAAGGAAGAAGATTGGGGCTCCGTTTCATTTGTTTTTCAGTTGTGTTAAATAATAGGCTGGTATCATCCAGACCCAGTGTGTTGTTATTGCCAATGACTAAGATTTTGCATGAGAAACATCTTACTGCCTCACTTCCTCTTTTCCAGGCCTTTCGTGTTCTTCCTTTTTGTCTTAAATGTCATCAGATGGACATCTGGCAACATTAAGCACAAATGTAAAAGGCAGGTACAGAGAAGCGCTGTACCTTTTACTTTTCTCTTGTCCTCCTCTTTTAATAAATGTGCAAAATAGGGAGAGGTTTCCCTCTGAAAATGTTTCAAGGGAAAAGCATGGGAAAGTTTCCTATGAATGTTTTGATTACAAAATTCTAAACGAAAAGCTTAATACCATAAAGTGGCACAATTTCAGTTTTGGAAATGGGAAGCCTAAGAGATTTTCTTGAGTTTTCAACTATTTCTTCTTTCATAGTCATCAGTCTTTTTGTAGGCACATGAAAGCAATGTTTTGCCTTGTTTAGCTTTTGTTTTGGAATATTAAATAGTTGATAAATAGCTGAGGGCAAGAAGCAGAGAAGTGGAAAGAAATCTCACTTTTTCAACTTTTACCTGCTTAATCCTGTTTATATAGGAAAACTGGAAAGTTTTAGGACCGATACTTTGATCTTTGTTTTACATTACGCCTTAGGAGGACATACAATGTCTGTAAGCCTTTTTTAAGCAGAAAAATCTCAAGTGAGACTATTTCCCTCTGAAATCTTTAGCTACAGCAAAGTGCCAATGCCATTAAGAAGGCAATCTGGCACTGCTGATGCACGTTGTGTAGGTGCACATTAAGATCGGCCTTTACAATAGTGATGTAGCCCTGTAGGTCCAGGGTGACAAACTGTTGCTGAGATGCCTTGTCCTTTTTAGCTGCAGAAGTAAGGAGGTCTCACTTACAAGCTGAAGAACTTTTGTGATGACAGAGAAGGGAAGGCTGCGGTGACAAAATGAAGTCTAAAGATGCTTTTAGAGCTGCTGTGTTTCCAAAAGGGAGATAAAAGTGCCAAGCTCTGTAGGCCCAGGACATTGGAATAGTATTTTACTGCTGAAAGATGCTTATTCAGCTTAATTTGTTAATAGGAAAAGTTGCTTTATTCATCTTCAAAAAAGAAGCTGTATGGAGAAAAAGAAAAAAAAAAAAAAGGATTGAAATTTTTGTTATATAATGGGTTTAAATGTGTGATGCAAATTAGACCTTAGGGGATCTGAGTGCCTTGCTTTTCCAAAGTTTGGAATGTTTTATCTGTGACTAGTTTCTCTAAGAATGCGAGACAAAAGGAGTTCTATGTAAGAAGAGAACTCTCTCGCACGCACTTGTGGAGATGCCCCTTTTGTGAACTGTAGTGTTAGGACGTTCTGATCAGCTGTGATGCAGAGCAGCTATAGTATAAGATCCGATGATTAAATTTTAATACCTACAAGTTACCATACTGAGGGCTATCAAAGTTATTCTTCAGAGGTTTCTCTACATATTTCTGCAGGCACTTCTTATTTCGTGCCTTTGAATGAAAATGCTGACATAACTGTCAGAGCTATCTTAGGAATTCAGTGCAGCAGCACCACTCCCATCTTTCTAAGCCTACTCCATGCACAACCAATATTGAACCCTGTAGGCTACTGGCAAAACTCTGTTCAGGCTTGCACTTTGAGCCTGCCGCAGAGGTGAAGCTATGCCTCCAGTGATGCAGACGGAGAGACAAAATTTAAGAAAGAGATCTACTGGGTGGAGGAATGTTTGTCTTAATGTAAGAGTTATCCTGAATGGGTGCAGTCTGCATTGGGCAAATTCAAGTCTGGCAGCTCATTCTGTGGGGCTGTTCTGGGTCTGCAAAATCCTAAATTTTTAATGAGAAAGTTAGATACAGATACAGCTAAATGTGGTGCTTGATTAGCATTTGACTTAGTGGTTGTTATCTAGAGCAAGCTGTAGAAAACTCCATGTTTTCCAGTCCTCCCACAGTGCTATCACATCTTTGGGTTGGTCTCCCCCAGCACTGCGACAGCTGTGCTCTGAGCAGGTGCAAGACTCAGAATACAATTTATCATCCTAATAACAGGCAGGTAGATGCATTAATATGTATATACTTTTTATATTTCAGTTCTTAGACATTTAAGTAAGTACAGTGCCTCGAGAACGTACCTTCAAGGTGCAGGAAGCACAAGTCATTCACCTCAAAGCTACCAATTCTCTGAGCCAGAGGAGCAAGAAGGCACAAGGCAGGTGTGGAAAGGCAGCTTGGAGAAAAGTTTGTGACTGCAGGAATAATTTGCAACACCTTCACTAGCTGCAGAGAAGTGGACTTCCAGACCTCCAGCACAGAACGGGGAAGAGCTGAAGGGAGAACCTGCCAGGCCTGGGCCTCCTCCCCCTCCCTGAGGCTGTGCAGTACAGTTAATTCACAATTAATAGCAATTTGTCACAAGTTTCAGCTCAGCCCTGCCCTCTTGAAAACTGCAGGGTGCAAGATAGCAACAAAGAGGAAAAGGGAGAGTGCCTTTTTTCATGACAGCAAGCTTGCCAGCTCAGGTTATCAAGTATTGTCTCAGAAGAAGCTTAGACAGAAAAAAAAACCCTGCATTTCCTACTTTTCTTACAAAGGCTGTTTTTCCTCCTTTGCAGTCTCCTGGACAACATGTTGGATTACTGTCCAAGGTAAGAATGATGAGTGAGGTGCTTAAGAAAAGCTATTGCAAAGTAGAGATCCCAAAATTCTTCCTGGGATATCTGAGTGAAAGCCTTTATACTCACTTTCTTGCTCTTGTGTGTCTGTGTTTGTATATATATACACATACACACATATTTATTTTATTTTTTTTAAATGCAGCAGAAGGTCTGAGTAGCAACACAAGGAGGAAAATAGAGTTTGGGACACATCTGCCCCATACAGGTGTGCTTTCTGGCCAAATCTAAACAGGAGTGGATGCAATGTCTCAGCCACAGGGAAGAGAGGAGTAAAGGGGGCAAGTGAAGCAAGTAGAGGAGCTGTCACCCTGTAATAGCTATACCCCCATTCAATAGTCTCCACTGTATGTAACATGTCTGTGTCCCCCATGGGCAGTGAAGGGAAAGGAGAACAGTTGTGTTGTCATCTTGGTGTGAGCACTCTTATCAATCTTCTTTAGCTTATAGGAACTTACCATCATTAAGATCACATTCCCTGTCTCAACTATGGCTTATGAGCAGGTTAAAAAGCCATGGGCAGGACCTAGAGATATCACACACAAATTGCTTCCTTAGAAAACCTGACTTGAAAAAAATCCAGTTTCATCTTTCTTTCCAAAAATATAGGCAGGACTCAGGGAAGATTAAAAAGAGTATAAATAGCAGACAGAAAGCAGGTGGTTGGCTGCAGGGTGCAGGAATGCCTGCTCAAGGACAAGCCAGAGCACAGCCAGCATGACTGGGGACTTTCACTGCAGCTGCCTTTGTCTTTACAGAGCTGCTGCCCTTTGAAGAGAGTTCCACTTGACCAGCCTGAAACCTCTTGCAAATCAGGTAGATGAGAGATCAAGCTTTCTCTTTTTGCTGCCTGTTTCTTGCCGGCCCCCCCCCCCCGCCCTCCCATCTGCTTCCAGTTTGCTCTTTCAGGATCCAGTCAAGAACCTGCATATGAAGCTGGTGCCTCTTTCACAGGTGTTGCCTACCATGCGTGCAGTTTGCGTATGTGTGAAGGGAGGTGCTTGGTAGTGAAGGTGATTCTCAGAAGAGCAAGCACACCCAGAAATGCCCTGCAGAAAGTCCATGGGAGATTCTAGGGCAGATGGCCTCCCTCTCTACCCAGTCAGAGACCCAAGCAGGGGATCAGTGTGAGCACCCTGCTGCAGCTGTCGCATTCCCTGGGCCTCAGCATGTAGAAAATGTGTCATGTGAGATTTGGCATGGGGCAATGTGCTCCTCTGCCTTCCAGGCCCAGCACAGGCAAAAGCCAAGCGGCACCTCCTTCTCAGAAGGCAGATTTTGCCATTTTAGAGACCAGCCCTACTCCTTCATTGCTGGTTGAAGTCACCTCTGTCACTGAGAGAGAAGGAAAGAAAAAGGCAATTATGTGGCTCCATAAGAAACATGGCACTGGCCATTAGCTAGACTGACGCAGTGTTAGAGGACATATAAAGCCCAGAAGCTTGGCCCAAGATGCGTAGGTGAATTCACCCTCTCTCATTTTCCCATCAGCCTTATGACATCACTTGCCCCATTTTCCTCTTGACTTCTGTTTCTCAGTCTGTAGCCTGGGTTACAAGCAGCTATGCCACAAGCAGAGAGTTCAGTGCAGCTTCAGCTTGCACACCCTGATGGACTTTCTGCCAGCCCATAGCAAATATTCTGGAACCAGAAGCCCAATGAACAGTACAGAAACACTGCTTTCCCCTAGTTGAGTGCCTCTTGCTGTTAAGCACACATTTTGCTAAATGAGAAAGAGATTCAGCCCAGGCTGGGAGACAGTGTTGATTCCTTGCTGAACTGGGGATTTGGATTTTCTAGGTAAGGTTGATATAAACAGGAAGAGTTGTTAGCTGCACAGCTAGGGGATAGACAATAAAGAACAGTTTGCGCAGAAACAAGCAATGGTGCTTCAAAAGCATTTCCAGAAGATGAGTGTGACTTCTCAGAATCGTCTACACCACGGTAGCTCCCTAGGGCTGGCAGACCTACAGTGGAGCTGGAGCTGTTGGAAAGCAGCAATGGTCTTTTCACTTTGACTTTTCTGGAAGCTCAAGGTCAGCTGCCCTGTTCTTTACTGTCATGTTCACTATTCCTGGCAAGATATTCAGGAAGAGCTTCCTAAAAGTAACAGTATATAGGATCAAAGAAGCTTGAGACATCCTTTTCCACATTTAATCATTGATTTATGCCCACGCTACTCACTAGGAAGGAGTCTAGGAAGGAAACAGGGCTTTTAAGACTTTCTGGTACATGTACAAAGTGTTACCAGTATTTCATCAGGAAAAATATTAACGGGAAGGCAGCATAAAGTTCTTGTACAGATAGACTAATGAGCAAATACAATGGAAATATTATACAAATCTCTTGAGAGGTAGAGGGAAGGAAACCTAATTTTCCATGTCTCCGCATGATGATCCTGTGCTTGATGTTAGGAAACAGGAAGCAGATAAACAGGAAAAAGAAGAAGGAGCTGGCAAAGGAAGTGCAATAGGGAGAGTAGGTCACCCAGTGCACATGTACTGAGTGGTTCCGATAGACATTTTTAACAATAGCAGGAAAAAGTCTGAAGAGGGTTCCACTTCAAGTAAATCTCGGGTCAAATGATGGGGATATTTAGCCATCCATCAACTTTTGTGAAATGTGGCAAAAGGAAATGTTTATTGCTTAGTGTATTGTTTTAATGAGATGTTTGCATTGTTTTGTTTTTGTAACTGTGCTACTCTATCGCCTGTCAGTGTTTATCACAGAATCACAGAATGGCTTAGGTTGAAGGGAGCCTTAAAGATCATCTAGTTCCAACCTCCATGCAAAGGGCAGGGTTGCCAACCGCTAGATTAGGCTGCCCAGAGCCCCATCCAACCTGACCTTGAACACCTCCAGAAATGGGTCATCCACAAACTCTCTGGGCAACCTGTTTCAGTGCCTCTGCACTCTCTGAGTAAAAAATTTCTTTCTAACATCTAACCTAAATCTACCCTCTTTTAGGTTAAAGCTATTCCTCCTTGTCCAATCACTGTCAGATAGTGTAAAAAGTTGGGCTCCCTCCTGCTTGTAGCTCCGTTCATGTACTGGAAGGCCACTATTTGGCTTCCCTGGAGCCTTCTCCAAGCTAAACAAGCCCAAATCCCTCTCTCTTTGATCATCTTTGTGGCCCTCCTTTGGACCCGCTCCAACAGCTCAGCATCCTTTCTTTACTGGGAGCCTTGGGCCTGGACACACTACTCCAGATGGGGCCTCATAAGGGCAGAGTAGAGCCAACCACATCTCTCTCATTTGCTGGCCACTCTCCTGATACAGCCCAGAATACCATTGGCCTTCCAAGCTTTCTTGGGCCTCTCTTCCCTCCAGGGCTTTCTCCCATGTCTCCCTGCCAAGCAGTTCCCTGAAGACTTCCAAGTCTGCTCTCCTGAAGTCCAGAGTAGCAAGCTTGCTGCGCACCCTCTTTAATACCCTGAGGATATTGAACTCTGTCATTCCGTAGTCACAGCAACCAAAGCTCTGTCCTTGAGCTTCACATTACTCACCAGCCCCTCCTCAGTGGTGAGGACAAGGTCCAGCATAGCACCTTTTCTCATGGGTTCCTGTATCGCTTGGAAGAGGAAGTTATCAACACATTCTGGGAACCTCTTTGATTTCTGGTGCCCTGCTGAATTGTCCTGCCAACAGATATCGGGGTGGTTGAAGTCCCCTATGAGGACCATGTTTTGTGAATTTGAGGCTGCTCCTATCTGTTTATAGAGGGCCTCATCCACTTGGTCTTCCTCATCAGGTGGCCTCACTATGATGTCACCTTCCTCTGCCTTCCCTTTAACCCTAACCTATAAACTCTCTGTCAGCTCCTCGTCTGTCAGCAGGTGGAGCTCCATAGACTCCAGGTGGTCAATGATGTAGAGGGCATACCACTCCCCTTCTCCCTGCCTGTCTTTCCTAAAGAGCTTATAACCTATGCCATTGTAGAAGGCCACTGGGTTGGTCAAGCATGATCTGTCCTTGGTGAAGTCACGCTGGCCGTTTCGGATCACTCTCCACATCTCATGGATCTGCTCCACAGTCTTCTCGGACACAGATGTGAAGCTCAATGGCCTGTAGTTTCCCAGGTCTTCCTTTCTCCCTTTCTTAAAAATGGGAGTCATGTTTCCCTTTTTCCAGTCACTGGGGTCTTCACCTGACAGCCAGAGTTTTTCAAATATGATGGAGTGACTTGGCAACCAAGATCCAGATCCTTCACGTCCCTGGGATGCATGTCATCTGGCCCCATGGACTTGTACACATTCAGCCTCATGAGGTGGTCTTGGACTTGCTCTGCTCTTATACTGGGAGTGATTTTGCTCCCCCAATACCCGCTTAGAAGTTTGGGGACATGAGAAGCATGAGAAGCCTGACTAGCTGTGAAGACCAAGGCAAAGAATTCATGAAGTACCTCAACCGTCTCCACGTCTGAGGAGGCCAGCTCTCCCTTTTCAATTTTATTAGGGCAGATATACTCTCCTTTGCCTTGTCTTCTGCCAAATGTACCTAAAGAATCCTCTCTGGTTGTTTTTCACATCCTTTGCCAAATTCAATTCCATCTGTGCCTTGGTTTTCCTGGCTCCATCCCTGCACATCCAGACAGCATCCCTATATTCTTCCCAGGCCACCCATCCTTGCTTCCACAGCTTACACTTTTTCTTTCTTTCCCTCAGCCTGATCAGCAGGTCTTTGCTCAGCCATGCTGGTTTCCTGCCTCATCTGCCTGATTTCTTATTCTGGATGATGAAGAGCTCTTGTGCTCTCAGAAGGGCATCCTTAAAGTACTGCCAGCTCTGTACGTTAACGTGTTCTCTTTTTACCCTTCCATTTTGTCCAGCTATAAAGCAAACCGAACAGGGATGGAGAAGGGTGTTCCTGTCTAGTTCTTGGAATGCTTTGCAGCCTATTATGTTTCTTGAAGATATTCACAGGGCACCAACATACCTATCCCTTGAATTGCCTACCACAATTGGTAGGTGACATAGGGGTAAGAGCAAAATTACTATTATGAGCAATTGATGTAACTGAAACCAAAGCATCATTGAAGTTAATAATGAAAGTGGTCGCTGGAGGTCCTCGGAAGACGCCTTACGGTTGGGCCTGCCCCCTCTTTCACACAGAAAGACCGCGGATCGCCGTGAGACGCCCCCGCCCCCAACCGCCGTCGCCCGGAGCAACGGGGCGGCCCGCGCCAGCCGGCGGGAGAGACCCTTAGCGGCCGGGCGGGAGGCGGGATGGCCGCGTCGCGCTGCCCGGCGTGCGCCGAGCCCTGCGTGGAGCCGCGGCTCCTGCCCTGCCTGCACTCGCTGTGCGCGCCCTGCCTGCGGCGCCTGGGGACGCTGGGAGAGCCGGGCCGAGCCGCCGCCCTCAGCGTGCTGTGCCCGCTGTGCGACGCCGAGGTGGCGCTGCCGTCGGGCGGCCTCGGGCAGCTCATCCCGGACTACACGGCGCTGGGGCGCGGCGGGGCCGCCGGCGCGGCGGGGTGCGACCTGTGCGCCGACGGAGCGGCTGCGAGGCGTTGCCAGACCTGCGGGGCGCGCCTCTGCCTCTTCTGCTGCCAGGCACACAGGTGAGGGCGGCGGGGCTGCCGGGAGTCGGCCGCGGCGCTGTAGCCTGCTTGGAGGTGGGCTGGGGAGGCTGCCCTCACGGGGAGCGGAGGGGCAGCGCTGAGCCGTACGGTTCAGCGACGGGGCCCGAGGGAATGGCGTGGAGCTGTGTCAGGAGAGGGGCAGCTGGGGGTTAGGGACAGGGTCTGCACCACAGGGCGCTGGGCATGGAACAGCCCGCCCAGGGCTGTGGCGGGAGGTTAAGATGCTGTGGGGTCATTTCACTCCAGAAACGTGAGTATGTACAAAGGCAGTTTTAGGTGGAATGGCAGGCCTGACACTGACCTGACCTGACTGCTATGGTTGCCACCTCCCAATGCTCCTAACTGTTGTGCCCACGCATCCTGCATGCACTCTCAGCATGTATGTGAGGCCAGGATCCTACAGCAATAGTGCTATAGCTTTGCCGCGTGCAAGTCATTGTGGAGTTTAGTTCTGTTGGAATGTAGTTTCTGTTGGAAACTAAAGAAAACGCAGGGGAGAGATTTTCACCTCAAAGAGAGTTGTGTCACTTGAGCAAGAAGAAGAGGTGGGGTTCTGGTAATGTACGAGCAGAAGAGGAGGGCAGTGCTGCAGAGGAGAAATGACCAGAAGCCTGAATAGCCTTCTGAAGCAAAGAGGCAACAGGCAGGGTCAGGAAAACCTTCAGTAATGCTGTCCCAGGAAGTTACAGCCAGGGTTAATCAGCTTGGCCTACTCGCTCCATGTTTTCTGCCTTTTTCCATTTAATAGCAAAGTCTTTCCACAGAAAGAATTGAGGCAAATTCCTCACCTCCCTTCTCCCTGCAGATATCAGTGCCTGTGAGGTGGCTCTGATTCTCAGTTACCTTTCCACAGGGCTGCAATTTTCAGCATGCCATTCTGATGAGCTAATGCCTTATAGCCCATGCAAGCTGCTGAAGAATAATGAACAGAGATGTTGAATAGCAGCCTACTGCATTGACAGAAATAGCTGTGCAAGGTATAAAGCAGTGGGAGGACTGTCCCAATGACACACTTCTGGCCATATTTCTTGATATCATTTTTTCACCCCATTAGCATCTGCAGACTAACACTTGCTTTCTCTTGATGGCAGAGCAGAACCAGGGCCAAGAAAAGCAATTTTGAAATGATTTCCTGCTGCACAAGAAAGATATCTAAGGATCTGAGTGACACTGTTGTGCCTCTTGGAATAAGTGAGATAATCTTAGGTGAAGTCTGGGAAGTGTAAATGTGGAGGATGTAAGCAAATACTGCTAGAAAGCACTGAAAATGTGCTGTACCTGAGGGAAATTGTTGGGAAGCAAAATAGTGTAATGGGCCATGTCTTGCCATATGTCGAGATTGCCAGCACAACACTAGAGCTTCGTCTTCACAGACTTTTTCATTGTTTGTGGCTCAGAGTTCCCTCTGCAACTGCCAACAAACAGCTTATTTATGTACAGTCATCAGTCCAGAAGACAGAAAAGAGAGATGGTTTTCATTCCCAGTCAGTAACTGGCTACCAGTGTCCAAACTAACAGAAAATGGAAACATTCCAGTGGAACTATGTGTCATGGTGGCTATCTGGTTAAAATACGCTTTGTGTCCAACCCCTCATATCCTCTTAGTGGCACCTAACCGAAAGGAAAAGGGGGTTGACTTTCAGAACAAACATTTTACCACAGACTGTTGCCTATTCCCTGAACTAGATTTTCCCTTGGAGGGTCATTTTGAGCTTCTTTGCCTCTGCAGATCTAACACTGGTGAAAATCATTGGGTTGACACCACCTGTTTCTATCTAAAAGTAACTGTCAGTGAGCAGTTCTGTTTGAGACACCTTCTGCCAGCTCTCACTTGGCAGCGTACGCCTTCCTCCTGCTGGCTTTGTCACAGTGGGCTCTGGAGGTGATTGCAACCATCCCGCTCCTGACAGGCTCCATGGAGGGGCTGCTGGCAGTAGCAGCCTGGCAGCCTGTTCCCTGGGGTGTGTGGCAGTGGTGGGGCACACAGTTCTTGCATCTGAAAATAGTGCTGACGGCATCTGGGGGGCCTGAGAGCAGCTTCTAATGAGGTCTTTGCAGATGGTGTCCTCTTTTGTGTGGAGCCTTGTTCTCAAGAGATGCAAGTCCTTCATGCAGTATGAATTTCAGGGAAGACAGGAGGGAGCAGTGCACTTTGACTTGCAGACTGGCATTTGTAAGCGTTCTTGGATGTTAGCATTTCATATCCAACGTGCATAAAGTTCTGTGGTTGCTCCCTTCTAGGAGACAGAAGAAGACTGCCTCCCATGTTGTGATGGAGCTGGAGAGCACCAGGGATTGCAGCCAGGCTGAGAAGCCTTTCTTCTGCCCTTCCCATCCCTCAGAGGAGCTGTGGCTGTTCTGCGAGCAGTGTGACCAGCCTGTATGCCAGGATTGCGTTGCACAAAGGCACCAGCAGCACCCCTATGACTTCACCAGCAATGCTGTGCACCGGCACAGGGACTCCCTGCAGAAGCTGCTGAGAAGCACCCAGCAGCGCATGAGCACGTTAGAAGATGTGCTGAGCCAGACTGATGATGTGGGCAGTGCCATCAGTGCTCGTGCAGAGGCCGTGGCCGCGGAGATCAGTCTGTTTGCCAGAGGATATGTGAAAGCGATTGAAGAGCACCGGGACCGGCTGCTGAAGCAGCTGGAGGACCTGAAGGTGCAGAAGGAAAACCTGCTGCACTTGCAGAAGGCCCAGCTGCAGCAGCTCTTGCTGGACATGAGGACAGGCGTGGAGTTCACAGAGCGCTTGCTGACAAGTGGCTCAGACCTGGGAATCCTCGTCACCAAAGGGGTGGTGGCAAATCGGCTGGCAAAGCTGAACAGTACTGCTTACAGCACCCACCCCAGAGAGGATGACAGCATTCAGTTCTCTCCCCAGGAGAGGGCAGGGCAATGTCAAGGCTATGAGGTTTTTGGGGCCATTATCTGCAAAACTGTTGATCCAGCCAAATGTACCCTGCATGGGGAAGGTAACAGGGTGCCATACCACTTGTTACTCCCTGAAGTCACGTTTCCATTCTCTGTGTCTGGGTGGGATGCAGCTGAAGGCTGTATTGGCTTCTTGTCTTTACAGTTTCTGAGAATGTCCAGGGAATAATTGGCATAGGTGGTTTCATGGATGTTTGCTTTCTAAAGACTTGGGGCAGAGCCAGCAAACAGATAATGCTCAGACTAGCTCTCAGGGTGAAGCGACCTCTGGCCTGCGCAGCACAGGTGGGCAGACCCAGGGCTCACTCAGTCTTTTCTGTGTCACAGTGCAAGTGCTGAGGTCTCTAGGGCTCTGCACTGTATGGTGGTGTGCTCCTTCCTGGGTGTGTGGGGCACCTTGAAGCCCATAGGGAGGACACCTGCTGGGCTCAGAAGTGTAGGCAGGTGGCCACCTGATTTGTGCAGACCTCTAGGAAGCAGACCTCTAGGTAGTATATTTACATTTTCCTGTGGGTGGAGGGAGCCATATACCCTATCGGTGGAGTCCTAGGTGTGCTCTAGCAGGATTAAAATACTACCACATGGGTGGGAGATAGCAGTTGTGGTTGTTGAGTCCTTTCTTGACTTTTTCTCCACCTTCCAGATCTCTGCAGTGCCCATCAGAATGAGCTGACAGGCTTTACCCTACTCTGCAATGACACCATGGGAGAGCAGATGGGGAGAGGAGGAGAAGCCGTGATGGTCACCATCACCCACAAGGACAAGAAGGACTGGTGGGTATTTCACTAGACAACTCCCCAGTCGCTGAGTTTGCTTCTCTGTCCCCCTTATCCCGACTCCCTCCTTGTTTGGACAGGTTTAAAGAAGTCCTTCAACATCTGAAGAAGTAAAGGCACAGTGGTTTTTCGCACCAGTGTAGCAGTGGTTTCTAGCAGTTGTATACAGTGTGGAGCTTGACATTGTTGGCTCATGCTTGTATTGAATCTCTTAGTGGTCTGAGGCTTCTTAAAGGATTCAGCTTACAGTGAGTATTGCATAGCGAGCTGTTGCTGCTTCCCACCCCTACCAGCAGCCACCTAGAGCTCCTGCTTTTGTTAAAACCTAATGAGCATACAACATTGCAATGCCAAGAACGATCACTGTGAGCCATCAAGCCCCAGAACCTCTGGCAGCTGATGGAGGTGCCTAAACTTCTGTTCTGGAGAAAAAAGCATTGCTAATACTTCATCACACTTTCTCCTGTTGTTGCAAGTGTTGAGCACTCTCACATCCTTGGGGTTTTTCGGGTGCATACGCTGCAGCTGAGTCAAGATGCGAGCACAATTGTTGCAGGCTTTCTTCTTGGTGGGATGACCTGAAAAGAGACAGGATGCTAAACTTCTCTCATATGAGAAAGTATTGATGTGCTCATACAGAAACAGAGCTGGGTACACAGATGCTTGCCAGTGAAGGATCATTGTTCAAGAATATTGCTCCTTTGTACCTTCATTAGGTGTACAGATGGTACGAGGAGGTGTACATGTAAGGTTTATGTGGCTTTTGCTTGGTAGGGTAGAGGTTGCTGTGGCCACATTAACTCAGTTTCCTGTTCATATGCCTAGGCAGTTTCTACATCTGTTGCTGAAAGCTGTCTGGCTTCAGGGTGAGGCACAGCAGCTGCTGAAGAGCCTGAAGTATCAGCACGCAGTTCATGGCAGGAAGTGATGCAGGCAGTCATATTTGATGTAATATAGTGGGGGATGGAGAATACAACCTATTAATCTGTGAGGCTATAAATGGCCATGTTGTGGGGCACATGAGACTAAATAGTAAAGAGTAGGAAGATTACCTCCCTCTTTAAAGAGCTGCCTGCTATTTTTTTTGTGGAAGGCTCTTTCTGTAAAGTAGGCAATCAGCTCCCAAGTAACTGGATTATGGTTTTTCCTGTCACTGTCCACAAGTAGTGTGACACCCATTGAGCTTCATTTTGGGAAGGGGAATTGGCCAGCAGGGACCTAGAGCTCCTCAGAGTGTCACAGAAGAGTTGAGGTCAGTGTGTTTGGGGCAGTAGTTGAAGTGATTCAAACCTACCCTGTTTATGTCCTGTCTTCCTCATGGGCTCCTCAAAAAGTAAATTGTTCTACAAGACTATGTGTTTACCCCCTTTTGGAGGGCTCTTATCAGATGGGATGATCTGACCTGCAAGTGTTCTGTCAGTCATCTGCTCCTTCAGAGCTCTTGGTTACTGCAGATCCTTGCAGCACAGCTAGCTTTGTGCGACTTCCTCTGTATGGGTACTGCAGCTCCCTGTAGCAGGTGTGTGTGAAAGCTACTCAGTGCCTGAGCATTGCTTATGCATTCTGTCAGGCTCACTCAAGAACCACAGCTGTTGAACAGGGGTGAGGATGAGGACTTGACCAGAAATCTAGGGCCAAACAGTAGTTCACAGGTACAGCAATTTGCTGTCAATCACTGATCTCTTGGGCTTCTCTTTTTCTGTTCATAGTGCAGTCAAACCAACAGTGTGTGATAATGGTGATGGTACCTACCATATTTCCTACAGCCCTGAGGAGCCAGGCTTGTATGCTGTCTGCGTCTATGTGAAAGGGCAGCATGTACAGGTAGCAGTTCTTGTTTGTTATGCATTGCTTCTTTACATACTTCTCCTTTCTAAGTATTTGCTTTAATTCTCTCTAAGAGTTGGTTCTATCACTTGGCAGTTAAGACATGTCAATGATCTGTGACTGACAGGATCACCCAGCTTCTTTTTAGAAATGCAGACGCAACGTTGGGTAGCATGCACTGCAGCAGCTTCTCTGCTTGCTTGTCCTCTGCAGGGCTCTCCATTCATTGTGATGGTGAAAAGCAAGTTCCGCAAGCACCAAGGCATGTTCCACTGCTGCACGTTTTGCTCCAGTGGAGGAAAGAAAGCTGCTCGCTGTGCCTGTGGAGGGACTATGCCAGGTGAGTGTGCAGCTTTCCCTCTGCTACTGCTATCAGAAGGGTTTGTTGCATTCAGACTCACAATGTAGATAGGTGTGAATAATTCTAGCTCAGCTCCTCCCTTGCTTGTGCACCAGGACTGTGATAACTTAGGCACGTACCTTCTGGTAGGAAGGGACTGCAGCTGTGAGAAACGCTGCAAGATGTGTTGAAGGTTTTTGAAGGACATTCCCTGTAAGAGACCTGAGTCAGCTCTGTGGGAGATGTGGCAGGGCAGCTTCATGATCATCTGTCAGCCCTTCTCAGTGAGGCTGAGCGTGACTGTTCTGCTGTAGTGCTGCCAACATGGCAGCTTCCTGGCTGTGCCACACAGCGTCCAATGTTTGTTGGAGAAGTCTCGTTCCTTGTTTAGGATGAGAGCTCAATTGCCGTATTTGTTTAATCCCAACCAGCTTCCTTGACCTTGGCCTGCATGTTTCATTGTGCATCCTGCATGTTTTTATTACACAATTTATTACACAGCCTCTTCTCTGTTGTTGTTTTTTTTTTTTGTGCTTGCTCTGTATCCAGCTCTGGCCATAGCAGCTGGCAGGAGGATCTGAAGGCCCATGTCTTGTATTACTTGGCAGGGAAGAAGACAGAAGTCTTCAGCTTTCCCCAGTGATTGGAAGGGGGAAATCCCTCATGGTTGTTCCCTTTTCTTTATGGGACTCTGTCAATTTTGGTTGTAAATACACGTGTGCTTTCCTTTCTTAGACAAATCCTGGAGCTGAAGCACCCTCTGAAAGCCACTGGTGCTGGAATTTTCTGGCCTTTTAGTTCAAGTTGACGGTGCCACTTCTCTTGCAGGTGGGTACCAAGGTTGTGGCCATGGACACAAAGGTCACCCTGGATGTCCCCATTGGTCATGCTGTGGACAAGTCAAAATGAGCTCGGAATGTCTGACTGCGTTGCCCAGCGACAGATCACAGAGGAGTTTGCTCAGGACAGTGGAACTCTGAGCAGCCAGTTGAGCCTCCCTGAGTTTAGGGTCCTTCTACTGGCTGCTGAATGAGCACGTCGCAAGGATCCCCACAACTGCTGAAGAGCCATGTTGCCAGAAAACAACACGGTGATGGGTATGAACTGAGAAAGGAGGGTGAGGGAAAATAAAACTGTGCCTTATATTCTACCTGGGGTGTGTATGCAAGGTTGTTTTGTGCCTAAACAAGAGCAAATTCCAGGAATTGTACCAGTGCCTGCACTTTTGACAACTCAAGACCTGTGGGTTCATGCTCTGAGAGGAAATTTGGAGCTACCTCATAAGAGGGTCAATATGTGCCTCATTCTGCATGACAGACAGTCTGCTGTCCTTCTCAAAATGGCCAAAGCTGCTTGTTGGGGCACATTCCAGAAAGTTTGTGTTCATGCTTTGGAGAGGTCTGGCAGCCTCAGAATGGCTTCTGCCTTTACCTCAGGTACCCAGCTGGATTTTGGCATTGTGTGTGTGCTCATAGTACAGTTCACTTCCCTGGAAGCCACTGTTTGCAGCTCTCTCCTATTTTTTCCAGGTGAGCTGGAGTCTCATTACACTCTCCCCACAAAGTAGGAGGAAGGCAGGTTAGTAGTTTCAATGAAAGAAATTTGAAGAAAACCCATGGCAGTGATGGGAACAGGAACTGCAAAGCCACCTTTTGTCCACAGAGATAGTGTGGGGCGCAGCGTTGCTGGGGGTGATACGGGATCCAGGAAAGCACTCAGCTCAGTCAGACTATCTGTAGGAGTCATAGGTACAAGATTGCAGTTATCTGTCCCAAGCAGGAAGACCAGCATGCATTTGAAGCAGAACTTCTGGATTTGTCTTTCATGGCCCTGGCAATGCTCTCTCTTTAGAATGAGAGCTTGTTGTAATTTCTGCATGGAAGGGAGGGCTTATTCTCCTGGATTTGTATGATTGCTGCCAACCCATGGTTGGGAAAGTAACATCTGTGATAGGAAGAAGAGGCACTTAGTGCCTGCTACTTGCCTGGGTGAAGCAGATCCTGCGTGTACCTTCTGGAACAAAACACGTTCATGGCATTGATGCTGGGAATGCTACTGCCCTGGAGGTAACCTCAGTCACAGCTATCTCTTTCTAGGAGCTTGTAATGCTGCCTGGGGAGCTGGGGTGGGGACAAAGGTCTGACTGTTGGTCATTCTGTGAGAGGAATGCTGCTCTACTGTCAACATGAGGACTGGTTCTTGATTTCTGATGAATAGTAGCTAGGTTGTAAATAGTAGAAATCTGCACTGTTTGTTTGCTTAGACCTTAGAAGACTGATGTATTGTTCTTTAGTCTTACAAAGCCAGTTTTGGAACCTCTTCCTCCCAGCAAAGGAGACAGATACTCTTATGCAAATGGTGTTTATAACTTTCCATTAATCATCCAGAAAGGGCTGTCAAACATGGGAAGGTTAGGCAGTTTAAATCTCCAAGTTAGGTAATTTAAGTCTCCAAATTGCTGACTCTGAAAATACAAAGTGAAAGTTTAACTTGAAGTAACCTTTAATGGAACAAAGTGTAACCCATTCTTGTCCTTGCTCTGTGCTCAGTACCAGAAAGCAACATGAAAAGAAATGTCTCATCTGTCTGGTTTTTTGCCTTCCCACTCTTACATGTGTATTTTTTTATTGGAACTTCCATGCAGAGTTACAGAGGGAACACATAAGCACAGGACTGTCCTCTAAGCACGTAATTCCAGTCTAAAGCCATCATAGTTCTCTCAGACAAAGGAATGTGTTTTCATGTTAGGCCGTCCTTACACACCCAGTCACTGACATTTTCCAAGAAACTGTGAGAATGATACTTGTGAACAGAAAATTTCAGAGAACTGCAAGTCAGCTTTGTCTGAGCTGTACATTTAAAAGGGGGAGAGAAGTGTTTGGACAGCGTGGGCTGCTAAACCTGCCAGGGCCAGGTCCTTGTTACAACCTTTCTGTAGACTTGAAGGTTCAGTCAGTCTCATGGACTGACCACCTCTCTGCGCTTTGGCAAAGAAAGTTGTGTGTCATGGTAGCCTGAAGAATTTTGCATAGAAAACATTTAAGGACTTTAGCCCCTCTGTAGAGTTAGATGCAATTGTCCTCCATTACTTGCAAGCAGTTTGCCTTCAGTATTCCTTACTCAAAATGTTTTGCCAATTGAGTATCATGCTTACCTGCAGGAGTCTTGCACAGGTCCCTGATAGCCCAAGAATGGTTTCAACTCTTATGTTGGTGATCAGTCTTAGGCAGTTGGTAGATTAGGATGTAGTGATATCCCGCTGGCTTGCATGATGTCATTTCAGACCAGCTGGTCCTTCTGTTTATGAAGACGTTTTCAAGACAGACGTATGCACAGTGCTGCAACAGTAAAGATACGTGTTTTTCTCAGGACAAATTTTCTTGCTGATAAAAAATAAAAATAGAAAATGATGAGGATGGGATTTGAGAGGCAAGAGGAGGACTTAATCCCCAGATTGGGAAAACAGGAAAATGTGAGAAAGCTGGAGGGAAAAATGCAGCAAGAACAAGGGACTGGAAGACCTGGAACAGTCCCCTCAGCATGGAAGACTCCAGAGAGGGTGTATCTAGGGCAGGGTATCGTAGGGCATCTCTCCTTTCTCAGAGGAGGCAAAGCACACCAGTGACACAACTGTGCTTGTACCTCCATGCACGAGTGTCTGGCTTGTCCCCAGAAGACTGCAGAAATACAGAAGCTGGTTCAGCAGGGCTTCTTGGCTTTTCCAAGGCAGAAGGTAGTCCACAGGAGTGCACTGACCACGTGGAGTTCCACATCAGGGCAGACCTTGGCAGGAGCACACAGGTCGTGTAGGTGGATTTGCCAGCTTCTAGCTCAACGTGGCTCATCACCACATTTTGAAATATGAGAGCTTGTTCTGACTGGTGCTGCTTCCTTCTTCCCTTCGAGGTCAGGTGAGGCCAAGCACAGGTAGAACTGATAAGGCAGCATCAGACTCTCCTCCCAGCCTTCAGGGTGGGTCTGCTGGTGCTCCCATTTGCAATGCTTCTCAAGCACCTCAGTGCTATAATTACTCATGTTAGGAGCGGAAGGCTGGAAAGATCTCCAGCATTTCATCTTCTTTTTCAGTCTGCTGTGCCTTCACCTTCAGTGTTTCATCAAACTTGGCTTGTCATAGCTAGTATGCCACTCCATCTTCTCCCAGTTCCTCTCCTTCACAGATACCTCCTCCAGTTTTCCAATGACATTGAAATAAGACATGAACTTGCTGTAAGAGGACTGTTCTGAAAAAATTACTGCTTCTGAGGAAAGAAATGTGTTGTACCATGAAGGGCAGTGACTGGCCTGGTACTTGTATATGTGCCTCCCACAGGCCACTTCTTGAGCCCTGCTGGTTTTTTTCTTTTTTCCTAACTTTCAGTCCTTCCTGGTCCCACTGTTCCCTTGTGCAGGCAAGAGGCAGCATGTGATGTGGCCAGCTCTGGGACACTGGCTGGTGGGCCCAGCAAAACTACTGTCTGCTGTGGCCTTTCCTCAGCCAAGAGCTCATGTCTGCCTTCTCCAGGTGTTCACCAGCTTCTAGATCAGGTGGGACCAGATCCTGCTGTCATATCTGGTCAGATATTGCTAATAAATCCAGTAAGATCTAAGCAGACTCTGTGGCCACATACTCTGGATATTTTTTTTCCTCGCAAATATCCCAAATACCTCATTTTTTTTACAGGATAAACGTGGTAAGGGGTAGTCTCTGGCATGAGTTGCTCACTAGTTAATGTGATTTTACCCTGGGTGAATGGTCTTGCCCTTGTCCTACCTTGTCAGTCTGTCCCTGAGATGCAGACCTGGATTTTCCAAGTGGAAGTAACCCAACCACCAACCCAGAGTGAACTAATGCTGAAAGGAGATGCCCAGTTTGCACAGTGCACCAAAGGCAGCTGTAAATCAGGTGCCAGAGAGGGCAGCTGGATGTTTCTCAGAAGTCCCTTTCCCACCAGATCACTGTGTCCCAGAACTATTCTTTGCTTCTAGTAATGCTGTACTAGTTCATGGTAAGTTGAGTAATCAGTAGAATGCTGCAAAATAAATCAGATCTCTTCAGATTAAAGACTTACTCCAGGCTAAATGAGAGGGAAAGTAAAAGCTGTATGAAATCTGCATTCTAAGTTTAAACTATTGCAAAAATCACAGAGTGGCAGTGATTATCAAATGAAATATTGCCCCTCCTCGGTTTTATTTGAGGCGGTAGGGTGATGGATGAGCTGTCAGTAGCAGCTGGAATTGGAGCATTGGAAGTAGGCCCTGCCCACATCTCTGCCTTGCTGAAGGTGTTCAGGCATCTCCTCTACCTGTACAGCAATTACCTTAGCAGTTAAGCACTCCTACTGAAGCAACACATCAAGAACTGAAATCCAAAAATCCTACAGCAAACAAACCCACCATTGAAAGGAGAAGGTCCCAGCCTGGCTCCTCTGTCCTGCAGTCCTATCCCAGCACAAGTAACACTGCATGTGGCACTCCTCTGACCTTATGGACAGCTAATTCAGCCTCCTAACCCAGCAGGAAACCATCTGCTTTCTAATTTTCCTTTGCTTCTTACGGGGTCATTAGGCATAGTGCAGATTCAGATATACACTCTCATCAGTGCAAGGCAGTAAGACATAGGAGGAGGTTCCACACAAGCTGAGGCATGTAACCAGCCTGGTGTGAGGAGGTTGAAAGTGGTGAGTTCTGGGTGCTAAATGACTTGGAATACTTGGTTGACTTCAATGCATGTGTATACAAGAGTCACAGCCTCTTACAGCTCTCTCGTTGTCTAGAAAGTCTGCTACCTGTCATGCACTATGGATACATTCATTCCTTGTAGCTGTTAATGGGCTGTTTTAGAGTTGAATTGTGATCCAAAAGATTGAGCACACACACATCTGACATCTTGCACGTACACCATTAGGTGGTTACTGTGCTCCTGAACACCACTCAGTCTTTGCTGCTGGTTTGGTCACTGATGGGTTTTGATTATATGCTGGGTCTTCATTTAGGCCTCTGGTTGTTGCAGAGAAAGAAATTTGCTGTTTGTTAGGCTGGTCACTGTGCTGGACTGTTGACAGCTCCTCCAGACATCATCTTTACATGGAAAAACTGTTAGCTCCCAGTAACCATCCAAACATACTGGAGGTATCTAAGAACTGTGAAAAATCCCCTTTTCACCATCTTCCCTGGAACACCATCCATATGTAAATGACAGGATATTCAGGTTTCCTTTTGGGAAACCCAGCAGTGGTGCAAGCTGCCTTCCCTTCTCCAGTCTTTCACAATCTCTGCCCTTCTCAACCTCTTCATCCCCAGGAGCTACTCAGTCCAACCCCAGCCATGAGTGAGACCAAGCATGGAGGGAAAGACTTGGAAGGTCTGGTCCACTTTCTTTCTTCTACATGCTCTCATGTCCACAGCTCTCAGAGCAGCAGGAGCTGGGCTCAGGAAAGAGTAATTTTGTCTGAAAGAGTCTAGCAGAAGAAAATAGCAGTTAGAAAAGTGACCATCACCAAACCTGTGCAGCTATTCTGAGCTCAGAGGAGCCTCTTAGCACAGTACAGAGAAACAGCAGGTGTACATTGCAAACGGAGCCAGGAGGAGGACCTGTCTACTCAGTGACAACAGCATAATTGGAGATTTTAAGCTGGGAGACCAGAGGTAGTCGTGAATACAGTGGCAGGTCAGCTGTGGGTCTGCATGGGAGACTGCTGCAGCCGGATCGCAGGAACAGCCAGCTACTGAACCATAAGCTGGACTATTTTTCAGTTTAAATCAAATTAAATGCTTCTTAAATGGATGGTTTAAGAATTCTCTCCCGTCCCCCTAGTGACTGGCCTGGTGGGGGGAGCCAAGATACTGTTTCCTCATTCCTGGGAGTTCACTGCTTGGACTCACCACTCCTTAGCTGGGTTCAGTTATTTAAGCAGGACAGCCTGGGAGAATGCATCGTGTGAAAGACAGGGGCTGTGCTGCACACTGTGTGCAACCTTTGGGCAGTTGGTCTTTGGCTCGTCTTTTTAAGTGCGGTGACCATGGCATCCCAAGGCCAGGTGATGTTCTGGAGGTACAGTATAATCTGTGTCTGCTTTGGGAGTGAGAGGAGGGAGGGAGCTGCTTCTTCCAATCTGCTTGACTGTATCACACTGCTGCCAGGAGCTTTCTAGAGAAGAGTTCTTTGCAGCTTGACCCTATACTGCATTCACTGAGACTACTTAAATACCAGAATAGCTTCTTTTTTTACTGTCAGTAAGGCAGTGCATCTGTTGGACTCCCTCCTGCAGGTCATCAATTGCACCCAGAATGCAGACAGACGTCCCAGAATCTGCATGGGTGGAATAAATACCATCTCGAAGTGAATGCTGCTGCAGACCAGGGCAGTGATGGCTTGAGGAAGGCTCTTTGTGCCTGCTCTGGTAGGTTAGGGTATCCTAGGCTTGAGGAAGGTTCCATGTCCCTGTTGTTGAGTCACCAACAAGCTGCATCTCTTCATCTCATGTATGAGCTTTTCCAAGCTGGATGAAGGCAGAGGTTCCACTGAGGTGTGTGAGACACTTGCACTTGGATTTATTCTGTAGAAAAGGCTTCAGCTGCTCAGAGCGTGTCCCATGCAAGCTGAGCAGCAGCTGGGAGCAGGATGGTCTGTGCACAAGCCATGCTCCATCTTTTTCACATCCCCTTGGTTTGGGCAGCTTGCAAAGTGGATATCAACGTGCTGCTCATGCATGGCTTGGGGTGTGGGGTCTCCGTACTCTCTGCTCACCTCTCTGGGGAACTATTCCCTCATCAGTGAGGACGATCCGATTTGGTAGGGAAGGGCTGTACTCATGAACTAGAGGCTGCAGTCAGGAGAGCTCTGCTCTGGGGGAAGAACCTGGGGCTCCTCTCCTTCCACCACATTTGATGAAGAACAATCACAGCAACTCTTGTTGCTACCACAGTCCTACACCTCACCAGAACACCTCACTTCAAGTCTGTCACTTTCCTGCCTCCGCCTCTTTCCTACCAGCAGCTCTGCAGACATACGCCAGGTGTAAGGGAGGTAGGTTGCATGGTAACGGTGTTCTTTTTTCCCCAATAGCACGACCACAGTCATTATCATCCTAGCTGCCGTGATTGCCTTGATCATCGGGTTTGGTATCTCAGGTATGTGACCACTTGCATTCCTTGCTGGTGCCAGGGGGTGACACAATCCTGCCCTGGCATCCGTAGCCTCCATCCTGAGGTGTGATCCTGTGTGGAAGGGCCATCCACCAGCTTTTAGTTAAGGCTTCATTTTAATGTAATGTAATGATTGCAAGATGGCTGAGTGAAAGTTGCACAGGTGACTTCCGTTCTGACATTTCTCAGCAAAGCTCCGTGGCATTAAACCACAGCCTGGCTGTTGCATAGCTCTTAAAGTACAGAAAAAGGGGAAAAAAAACCACTGGGCTTGTTTAGCTTGGAGAAGAGAAGGCTCCAGGGAGACCTCGTTGTGGCCTTCCAGTACTTGAAGGGAACGTATGAACAGGAGGGAGAACGGCTGTTTACAAGGGTAGATAGTGACAGGACAAGGGGAATGGTTTTAAACTGAAACAGGAGAGGTTTAGGTTAGATATTAGGAGGAAGTTTTTCACACAGAGGGTGGTGACACACTGGAACAGGTTGCCCAAGGAGGCTGTGGATGCCCCATCCCTGGAGGCATTCAAGGCCAGGCTGGATGTGGCTCTGGGCAGCCTGGTCTGGTAGTTGGTGACCCTGCACATAGCAGGCCATTCTGTGATTCTATGATTTAAGAAGCCACCTACAAAGCGTTGCCAGCTACACTTGAGATCAGCCTTGCCTGTGAGGCAATGGTGGAGCTCCCAGAACATGAACACTGGTCGATGCTGCAAGAGACATGAGTTGTCATGGTGTCAACTCTAGGGCTCTCTTCCCTATCATGGCAGCAAGTACGCAAGACGGATCCTTTCTGAGAGGTGTCTCAGGACTTTTTTTTCAGGACTGGTGATTTCTCAAAATTCAGCCATTTTTTTCCCCTCATTGAGGCTCTGTATTGTGCTCTTTGGAGACTGTGAGCTCCCGTGTGGATTAAATAACACAGAGATTTACACACACAGGATTTCCAAGATTTGTCATAGGCATGAATGAGCTTGGCTGATCAGGCTGAATTCCAGTTGACCCAGTAAGTGAATTCTTGACCTCTGCTTTCACAGCAGAATTAAAGGGACTTTTGTTTTGTTTTGTTGTTTTAATCTTAGGTTCTGGCAACTGAAACATTTACTTTTTTATGCTGCTGAAGAAAGGGGTGGAAAAGTGTGGAGCAGCCTGTGCTGATGAGGGTTTGACACTGTGTTAGCAGGAATTGTCCCAGGGCCCAGAGCCCCAAAGCCAAACATGCAGAAAATCCTGAAGACCCCGTTCTCCTTCTCACAGATGGGAAGTGTCTTCAGATCTGGGACTGGCCTGATCTCTCTGCACTTCATGCCACCGTGCTTTCTCCTTGCAGGGAAGCGCTCCATCAACGTTACCGCCTTGACGTCACCTGGCAACATTGGCCAGAGTGGCCTCCTGGGCTGCACCTTTGAGCCTGACATCTGGATGGGCAGCATAGTGATTCGGTGGGCAAAAGTTGGAGTGGCCGGATTGGTTCATGAGTTCAGAGGAGGGAAGGACCACCTGCAAGAACAAGACGTGGTGTTTCGAGGCCGCACGGCCATTTTTGCAGACCAGGTGATGGGTGGAAATGCTTCCCTGGAGCTGAGAGAGGTGCAGCTGTCCGATGCTGGTACCTACAGGTGCTCCGTCACCACATCCCGAGGGAGTGGAGCAGCAGTGCTGCGGTACCAGACGGGAGGTGAGGAAATGCTGTCTGGGGATACGGAAAAGAAACCCACGCTGTGAAACATAGGATGATGTGGCCAGGTCAGGCCTCTAGAACAGGTCGCCTGCAGGAAAAGCCACCTGGACGTTGTCCTGGGCACCTTACTCTTCCTGCTTGAGCAGGAGTTGGGCAAGGCAGACCCATCTGGCAGTCACCATGGGGCTCTTCACACCTGAGTAGGACAGTCTGATGGTGGTTGTGAGGATCTTTTCCCTGAGATGCTGTTTCAGTGAAACCAGACTTGGTGAAGGAATTACATGTGTTCAGAAGGGGGCAAAGCCCAGCGTCAGTGGCTGAGCTGGGAACTTCTTGTGAAGTCTGAAATGTTATTTTTGTGAAAGGCCAAACTGGATTGTGTGAGTGTGCTGTTTCCTTTATTCCGTGGCATGACAGAAGGTGAAAGCTGACACAATTTTTTCCCACCTCTATCAGGTCCTGAAGGACATAAAGTGCCGCTTGGGTCTGCCAAGGCTTTAGATCATGCTCCAAGCTGAATATCCAGAACTGGAAAAGAGGATAAGAAGTGCAGTTTACTAGCTAATCATCTGTCTATGAAGAACCCCTATTTTTAGAATGGGTGTTGCTGAATGATCTCAGAAAGATCCAGATTTTATGCCTGTTAAAGATAAAAGGGTTTTTTTTTTCTTTCTCTCATAACTTAAGACATATCTCCAGCCAGAACTGCTGCATAGTCAAAATTCTAGTACATTCACAATCTTTATCCTGTTTTTATAATTTATACCCCTTTAAAACGTGATTATCAAAGCAACAAACAACCTATCTTGTAGTTAGTTACCTGAAGCATTACGTATTTGCTAGATTTAACCATTTAACCTCCTGGGCTGTGTGTCCGGGACCAAGCTCAAATGTAACTAGCAGAATTACTTAAAAACACTAAAGCTGTGCCACAACCTCAGCAGATCTTGTCAAACTGGAGTGCCTTGTCACAAGAAGACTTTGCTCTCCTACAGACATCCCTGTTGAGGGACGTGGTTTAGTGGGAGCTATTGGTGATAGGTGAACGGTTGGACTGGATGATCTTTTAGGTCTTTTCCAACCTTGATGATTCTATGATTCTATGATGCTAAGACTGCCTGAGCCCGTGTTTTTTGGCCACATGCAGCACTGAGATGTGAGATGTGAGGAACGACTGGGACTGGCAAGCAAGTAGGGCCTGGTTCTCAGATGTTTACCTTTCTGATTCTCCTTGCTTCCCTCCCCAAGCCTTCAGCACCCCCAGGGTCCACATGCAGACCAGTAGCAGTGGGGACACATTGGACTGCAAAGCGCCGCGCTGGTTCCCTCAGCCCACTGTGCGCTGGACGGCATACAGCAACGCTGGGAAGTGCCTGCCTCATGCTGCCAACACCAGCTATGAGCTGAACTCTGAGAACATCACTGTGAAAGTGGTTTCCTTTCTGCACAACATTACAGCCAACGCCACGTACACCTGTGTGATTGAAAACAGCATTGCCAAGGCTACAGGGAACATCAAAGTGACAGGTAGAGATCAACAGCACCCAGAGACCACGGGCACAGTTCAGTCAGTGTGTGGTGTGCAATGGGGGGATCCTGCAGCACTGCCTCCTCTGTACTGATGAGCGGTTTTGGGAAAGGAGGAGAAGGCAGGGACCACTGCTTGCTTTCCTCTGCTGGATTCAAAATAGCAGAGCATTATTTAGCATATTTGGTAGACGAGGTCCCCTGTGTGCTCAGCACAGAGCAGAGGAGCTGAGCACACACTGAAAACACTGAAACCTCAAACCAAATCCTCCAACTTTTGACTTTCTTTAGCCACTTCAGCTTAGATAACTGCATTTGTAACAAACCAGCTGACCTTTAGCTGTTCCTGGTATCAGTGTCTGACTCCAGCCCTTTATTTAGAAGTACTTATTCACAGCATAGCAAACTTTCAAACAAACCTCAGCTGGAATTTGTGGTGTTCTATCCTTTTCTCTCATATCTGAAGCACTAATAGTAACACAATCTGTGGTTTGGCAACAGAATTACAGCTTTCAAACTAGTTTGGGAACATGTACACAACGCTAGTATCACCATAACACCAGGTTTTCCTTTTTCCTGGTGCTAGACTCATTCATTAGTTCAGTTCCTACAAAATGAATAAATAAACAAATACATAAATTATACACATCAGTGCTTCTCTAGAAACAGAGTTAGGCTTCACAATCCTATCCAATTAAGTTAACGACCAACTACTGCCACCTCCGTGTGTACATTAAAAGAAGGATCTTAATATATTAGGAATAGCTGTGTTTTTAAAGCAGTGCTTGTACAGAACAGAATCTGATCAGTAAGCTGCATGCAATACTTGAGAGCCTAAAGCATAGTTTGAAAGGAAATGTAGCAGGATTTAAGAGTTCAGTTGTCATCTATACCATCCTAAATCTAGAGTCTATTATTTTAGGACAAACTTGTGTTAGCAACACTTGACACAGCATGAAGAGTTGTAGTACCACTCAGATTGACAGATGCTTAACTACTGGCAATCTTCTATTGCACATAAGACTAAAACCATATATGTATATTTCCAAGCTGGGTATGGAGGCTTTGTGCTTGTATTTTCAGTTAGATGTCTCAATTATTCTGAAGAGGAACACTGTGCAGAAGGGAACTCATTGGATACTTGACTTCAGCTCTGATATGTCCACCTAATAGAGATCACAGAATTCTTTTTTTGTTTTTTTTTTTTCATTGATTTATTTTCTCAATCATCCCTATCTCCCCTAATTCAGAAACCATTCAGCATCTTGCTCCTGTAAAACTACTATACACAATCAGTTTTCAGAATCACTGAACTGTACAGAACATCCCCAGGTGGAAGGGACCCATAAGGATCGCTGAGTCCAATGTCTGGCTCTACCCACAACCACCCAAAACTCAAACCTTTTGTCTGAGAGCGCTGTCCAAACACTCCTTGAACTTGGTTATTATTTTGTGTTCTACATGGAAAGGGTCATGGCTCTTCTGCAGTGAGGGCTTCATTACAGTGTGGTCCAGCAAGAGGTATCAGCATTCAGAAAAGCTAAGAGCAATAGGTCTGCCCACTGATTTTGCTTTTTTGCCATGTTCTCCAATCTGGTAGCCTCCTCTCACTATCCATCCGCTGCAGATTTCAACATTACAACAGAGACCAGCTTACACGTGGTGAACCTGAACACGGAGTCAGTATCTTCCTCCCTTCCTGCCTGTCACTGGATGCTCCTGCTTCCCATGTGTCTGCTGTCAATATAGAACATCTGCAAATGCTGTTGGACGAGGAGGTAAGCTTCAAAAGAGAAACTGATAAGCATACACCTTATGTACACATTAGAGGCTATGAGTCTCTAATACAGTTCACTTCTGCTAGGCCACGTTCACGTCTTCTTCTACCCCCTGAGAAGTAGCACAAGCCGTGCTTGCACTCCCTTTACTCAGATAATCCTACTGCACTGTGTGGTACCTACAGTAAATGCTACTCACTGGGAACACCTTGAACAGGGCTATAAGGAGCTGCCAGCCTGAGCAATCCCACCTAGACTGAGGAGCACTGGGGCCATCACAAAGCATAGGTCAACTGCCTGCAGGATTCATCAGTTTTGGGTGTGGGGCTCGAGAGGTAAACTGATGATGGAGAGCTACCAAAATCAATCAATCAATCAGCTAAATTGAACACCTCTGTCCCTCCATGCAGAACAGTCACTGCAGATACAGACAGATGGCAGGGCATACTTTGTGCTCTCCTCCACCTTGAGCTGAGAGTCAGGCAGTGCCACGAAATGAAGCCAGTTGTTCCTTTGTATTTCTTATCCCTGCCAACAACAGGATATTTTGATTTCAGAAAGAGATTAATTGTGGCAGCACAGATGACTAAATAATGAGGAGGAAAAGAGGGAGATTAGTGCTATTGGAAAGTTCCAGTTCAGAATTAAACCCAGTTTTTCAACAGTTTCACCTACATAGGGAAAATCTGCCTTATTGTTTTTAAATAGGTCTCTTATCTGGCACTTCCTATCTGCCGCTGTAGCATTGTCTGTAACTATGCTAACCCATTTCACAGGATACTTTCAGTGGTACTTTCTAATTCGACTTTGATCTGTTCATCTTAGGTCAACATTTCTTTAGGATAAGAAAATTTTCTTTTTTTTTTTTTTTCTCCTTGGGAAGACAGGCAAGCTTCAGCAAAACCTGTACCTTTTCTGAGAAAGCACCTACTGGAAAAAAAGGCCACTGTGGCAAAACTCAAAGATCTTTCCTTTCTTCTTTTTGTGACCTCCCTTAGGATGGAGTCTCAGAACTTTATTGAGCAGCAGCATTTGTCAGGTCTTGGGAACTCATGCTTTGGTCTAGAAGAGGCAAGCAGACCTTGAGACTAAGATACTTTCCACACGCTCAGTAAAACCATCACCTGAAAATTAATATAAGGTTCAAACTAAGGGGGAAGGGGAAAAGACAGAAGGAAAGAATGAGCAAACAAAACCCCAAATTCTATTTGAGGAGCTGCTCAAATAGGTACTACGCACTGAGTAAGGTGGGGAAGTAATTCTGGGTTGAATTTATTAACCTATACAAGTACAAAATGCTCAGTTATTGCTGCAAGCAGATGGAAGTGGAGTATCTTTAAATGGCATTGTGCCAGCAAGGCTGCTATGCCACTACAGATAAAGGCACATAGCATTATATTTTCCCCAACTTACTAATCAGCAGCAGATGGACAAGCCTGGAGCGTACTGTCAACTCGTATCATAGCTCTCTGCATTCCTCGTTACCAGCCCCAAATAATGTTCAGGCTGCAATAATGTTTAAGCTGCAAAACAATGCTTGCATAGTGCTGTTAGTGCCATGATTTAGTCTCCAAACAGTAACTTGTTTATTTCTTTTCTCTTCTTCGAGGAAGGAAGTGCTTTAAAAACATTTTAGTCATTCCAAACATGTTAAGGAGAATTTCCCCTAAGGAAACTACACACTTTTCCATGAAGACAGTGAATGAACTGCAAAATGCCGGTCTCTGGCTCATAAATTAATCTACACCCTGACTCAGTTCCCCATATAGCAAGTAAAATGGTATTAAAATAGATATTGTTATTTAAACTGCAATGTGATAGCCTTATTTACTAGATAATGCCACATAAAAAACACATTATATGCCCTAGGCCTAGAGCAATAGCTACCACGTAGGAGATAAATGAACATTTCTTCCTTGAAGCATAGCCCGCAATGGCTGGTGGCAATGGTCCAGTTCAAGAATTCCACTAGTCAAGGCAGCTTCTTGGGTACAGTCTTCATGCTGTGCTCACAGGCCTGTGCTCCCACTGGAAAGGAGGAAAGAGGGGAAGAAACCCCCTCCCAATTCCATAGGCATTTCCATGATTCATTTCCCACTGGGGAAGATGTTAAGTAGTGGTTCCCACTTGGCAGTGACCAGACATCCTCTCGATCCTCTCTCTGTTCAGACAGCATAAGGCTTTTTGTCCTACTTCTTCCACATTCAGGCACAACAGGCTCTGTCGAGGTCTCACTTGTGACACAAACTCCATTTCACCACACCGAAAATTTCTCACTTGCACTGGAGCTGAAGGGGAAGGACACAACACGTAATTGCTCAGTTGTATAACCAAGATGTTATAATTGCAATATAATCAAAAGAGTAAGGCAAACAAGGATCACAAAAGAGAATAAGTAGAAGAGCTTACCCTTGGGTTGAGCTCACTAGAAGATATCAAAGAGGAGGATCTCCAGAAGAGATCCTTCCCCTCTGGTAGCCAGCTCTTAAATAGGTCCAGGAGGGGTGGAGCCTGGCTCCACCCCTTCCGGTAGCACAGGTGAATTGCCTTCACCTGTGCTCCTCTGGCTGACTCATGGCTCACCTCAGGTGATCAATCAGAGGTTCAGGCCGTGACTCAGCAGTTCCCATACACTCAGTACATGGCTCCTAAGCTCTAGCACACAAATTTAAAAGTTCTGCAGGAGGGAAAGCCTTGCAGCATCTGCTTGACATCTCCTAAACCACAAAGGACAGGAAGATTAACAAATACAGGAGGAAACAGACATTTTATGTTGTGAATTGCTATGGACAATGTACTGCTTGCTGAGCTGTGCACACTGCTGCTGCACTGAGCTCTGTATCTTTTCTTACCATCAGCAATCTGGCCTTACAGAGTTACATAATATCCCGAAGACAGTGTCAACAGCAGAGCATCTTTTGGTGAGCCTAACAAATCAGCCTCTGCATGCCTGGACCCACACCCACCTGGCTAGGTATTAGCAAGGTGGCTTGAAGAGAACGTCCCCTTAAATGAGTAACTGCACAGCTGTGGCAGCATGAGCTCAGACATCACTACCCATGAATTTAAAATCCTTCAGTGTTTCAATTTCTGTGGCCGTGGTGAGAATTTCCAGACCTATGCTTAATTCTACCTTCTGTCTTGTTTAAGGCCAATTCTGCCTGCAGTCTTGCCTAAGGCCAAAAGCCACTTTGTTTGTAAGTAACTCTGGCCTTCTAGGCCACAAGGGCATGATGCTGGCAAATGGCCAACCTGTTGTCCACCAGGACACCCAGGTACTTCTCTACAGAGCTCCCTTCCATGAGGTCAGCACCTAAGCTCTACTGATGCATGCTGTTTTTCCTCCCCAGGTGTAAGACTCTGTATTTGCCCTTGTTGAACCTCACCAAGTTCCTCTCTGCCTAACTCTCCAGCCTTTGAACAACCACAACCCTGGCTAGATGATGTATTTTCCACTTAAAACTTGAACAGAAGTATTCCGAGTTTGTCACCACAATAATGATGATTCAATACTATTTTAATATGCTTTTGTGTAAAGTAAAAGCAGAAAGTGTCACTTTATACAACAATATTAATTGTTGTATTTTTTTGTATTGATAATTGTTGTCTCTGTATTTTTTGCATCCATGGAAATTCCTTGGAAATCCTCCAAAGGTCTTGTTTTGCGGGCAGAGAAGGCAGCTCCCCTTCCCGAGTGGTGAAACAGCTTCTAGCTTCCTTCCCACACCCATTATTACAAAAGCCAACAGTGTTTGCTCACCAGGCTGCAGGACTTTGGAGGGCTTCCTGTCTAGGCTGAAATCCAGCAGAATAGGGCGACAGATGAGAGAACTCCTGCAGAGGTTCCTTAAGTAGCAAGCAATGGGATCCTCCAGTTCCTCCACACACTGAGGAAGGAAAGGGTGTGTTGTCAGTATGTGTGGAGGGGGGCAGGGAGCCCCTGAAACACCCACAGCAAAAGGAAATCCAGTCCCAGTGAAAGTCACACCCTGCATGCAGCAGTCCCTGCCTGAATAACCCACTCACCCCAGTCCCAGTAGCTTCTCCATACTGAATGAACAGGCTGCCTCTGCTCTGCACACAGCTTTGCACAGCTTCCCACTCAAGAAGGCTCAGGCCCAGCATTGCTGCCACGTGCTGGTTCCTGCACAGCACCAAAGCTTCACCTGTTCCATCCTCCACCAGCACCCTATGGAGAGAGCAGGCAATGAAGAAGTGGAGGGAGGTCAGAACAACACCCTGCCCCATCACAAACATCACCTCCCAGGCAACAAGTCCCAGTAAAGAGAGTTTTGTCTACCTCTGGGAAGTCATGAGGAATCTCAACTCCTATCTTCACTATTCTGTCCACATCCCATCCACGACTGGCCTGTCCCCTCCCGTGTCACACCATCTGTTCCCTCCTACCCACCTCTTCCCATGTCCAGCCTCTACATGCTTACCGTGCACTGGCTTGCCTCACTCCAGTGTGTGATGGACAGGGTGGACTGTGTCGGGTGCACTTCCCCTGAAGGAAGAGTAAAGCTACAGCTATGTATGGGTGGCTACAAGAGAGAAGGTGAATGGCCACTGTTTCTTTTAACTCCCCTAACTAACTATGCAAAGGAATAAAGAACTTCACTGTATTTTCAGTGGGTGCCTTGAGAAAAGTTCTTCTTGAGAAGAAAAAACATACTGCAAGGTGTGATACACCTCAAGAGCAGAGCACAGTGCATGGCAGGATTCTCCTCTGAAAGTCCTCACTTTACCCCTGCTCCTCACTGCAAACCTGCCTGATACCAGATGCGTACTTCTCATCAGTTGTCATTTTGATCCTTCTCCAATATGCAAGTATTTTTCAGACACTACAATAAAGGGTTCTAGGATTAGATAGAACTTATTTCTTCTACATGGTAGCATAAAATATATGAGTAGAAAGTCTGCAGGCCTTCTGCCAGATTCTCTCTGGAAGCTTCCATACCTCTTTGAAGATGCTGCTGCAAAGAGAGCAAACCCACTGCAGGGAGAGAGTCAACACACAGGACACATGGCACAAAATCCGTGCCTGGGGCAGGGTTTGTAAGTGATGTTGCAAGTTGGATATAAACACCAGCGAAGGGGATGAGGCTCTTCCTGCACAACTAGAAGAAACAGGACCATGAGAAACTTGGAACAGGGAAATCTTCTTCAGGACACTGAGAGGTGGGAACAGCGCCTGGACTCACCTGGAGGTAAAAAGTTGATGAGAAGCTGGGAGAGACAGGATGGTCACACAGCTGGAGGCAATGTATGCGCAGTAAACATTATGGAATCTGCAATATGAGAGCACAGATGTCAGAAACAGCTCATAGAAAACAAATGGCTTGTTGTTTTTTTTTTTTTTTTTTTTTTTCCCTGAGTGGCTGGTCTGGTAATCTGACATGGTAGGAATGTCATTTATAGTAAGGGCTGGAGACTTAGGCAAGTGTGGACAAGGGATAAACCCAAAGAAGAGGGGAGATCATTTCAAAGAAAGGCAGGGAGGTCAGATCCAGTCCAGGACCAGAGCAGGGCTCAGGGTACCTTGAGATTTTGCGTTCCAAGTTCTGAAAGAGGATCTTGGCTCCAGGTAGCAAACCCCTGAGATGCTGCAGATAGGTTGCAGCAATGTAAATGTCCAGCACAACAGGGGAGCCTGCAGCAGCTGAAATGCTGAGCTTCACGCTGTGATCACTGGCCAGCAGACTCCCTGGGAAAGCACAGAAAAACACACATCATGAGCTCAAACACAGACAGCTTAGTCTGCCACTTAGCTGAATTTGCTGGATGTGTTTTCCTCGCATCACAACAAGGCTACTGTTTCACCTCAAATGTTTTCCATGGTCTTACCTTTCTGCTTTCTAAGGCTGAGAGTCGCAGATGGCTTCTCATTCTTAGGAGAAGCACACAGGGTCCTCTCTACTATCTCTCCACAGAAAGAAACAAGGGAACCTCTGAAACTGAGAGCAGACCAGAATCGTTGGATTTCTGTCTTGGAAGACGAAGGGAGTGGAAAAAATCCTGATCCAAAGATTGCAGCAACAAAGAACAGGGTGAAGAGAAGTGCTGTTATTTACGTCTGGCTTCAGGGGAGCTTACCCTTGGGCACTAGATTTACAGCAGCTTGCTGCAGCCTAGCCTACCAAGAGGTCTCTGAAGTCACTTCTGCTTTTCCAGGCATGGGAGAATTGAAAAGGAGAGAGACATCCTAGCTTACCCTTCTGTTTAACACCATTATTAGAAGAAGAAGCCAAGCAGGGGAAAACTCAACTTACCATAAGGCACTGGTGAATATTTCAGTGCATGTGCAGATTAAACACGCTTTGAAAAGAAAAGCTTCTTACATCATTATTTACTTAAGCAAGTTAAACAAACAAAAAACCCAAACCCCACAAACTTCACACATTTATCCCCATTTTCCCTGCTGCACCTGTTTCTACTTTTGACAAGAATTTAGCATAGGTTTTTGGCACCTACTCTACACCAGCAGTTAGCTCAAACTTTTTCTGGACACCATTTTGCAGCTTTGTAACCTGCAATTCCTTTAAGCTTTGATAAACAAGATAGGTTCACAGCCAGGGCTATCTGCACACAAAAATATTTCCAAACAGTATCTCTAGGGCAGCAAATTCATTATTCATTAATTATTCATTTTTAATATTGTACTGTCTCCAATAATGACCAACACTACCTCGTTCCCTAAGGCAGTCACATCAAGTATAGGGCAGACCAACAAACCTGTTGCTAAGTATTTCTGGAATGGAGGAAACTCTCTGATCCATGCCTGTCAGTGCTGCCCTGGCTGCCAGCTGGAAATGAGAGAGACACAGATTTGGTTTCAATTTATAGTAGCCAAAGCAGTACAGACAAATTTTGCATGCTTAGAGTTCCTTTACATCAAACAACTGACGGTTCCTCCTCAGATTAATTCCAAGGCAGGAAAATATGAGGCCCAGCAGTAATCTTTTATGGGACTTATCTCCTGTCTTGTTAACAAGAGATTCTATATCAACAATTTTCTGAGCTAGTTCTGGAGAGAACAGGAAGTCAGCTATGAAAGCCCAGAGCAGTAAAGTTGCTGCAGTACCTGGCACTCAGCTGGGAAGGGGAGCCATGTCTCATGCTGTAAGTGCCAGTTATCTTGGACAGGCAGGCATAAAGGGCAGGATGGCCTGCCTAGGAACTCTGCTGGCACAGGTGGAAAACTCAGCTTGTCAAACACTTCCAAGTCCTGAAAGAAGAGTCATAATGCAAAGAAAATTATTATCAAAGGAAGATGAAAGCAAAAGAGGACTGATAAGAAACAATAATTTAAAGAAAAAAAAACCAAAACACTGAACTCAAAGCTCTGAGAGTTTTAACTAAACACAGAATTTGGCAAGACAGATGGGAATTCCACACCTTGCAAAGAGCTTAGTCACTGACACTTCATCTCCCATATACAATTTAGTCTCCTCCAATGGGAAACTGTAAGATAACCTCTGCCTTACCGAGCAGTGGGGCACAATGAAGCGATACAACCCATCCAGATGCAGAAATGGAAACCATTGCAATGACTTCCCCATAAAAAGCAGTAGTGCCTGGTGGGAGATGGGGAGAAAAAGAGCAAAAGTGATGAGAAATGTTAGGAAAAAAAAAGTGAAAAATGAAAAGCACAGCAAAACTGGAGCAAGTCCAGCAGATGATTGACAAGTAAATTTGGCACCATCAAGGACAAGGTGAGGTGAATATATTTACAGGATGTTGATGGTGAGGAGATTGAACCCCCTTGCAGTGGCAGAAGGAAGTTACCTGCACAAACATACTCTTCTACTCGACATAAATCACCCTCTGATTGATTAGAAATCTAGATCTGTAATTTACTATGTACCCAGCTGCCAGCTGTATCAAACCACCCACCGAAGCCCACTCCTGCCTCACCTCTTGCCGTGTCATGCCCTCTCCTCCATCATGGCTGGCCTCCTCTAGCTCAGGCAGACTCCTGGTCTCTCTAGGGTGGCTCCACAGCTGAGGTCTGCCCAGCCACAGCACCGTGGCTTGAAAACTGCGCTGTGGCTCCTGTTCTTCTCCACCTCCTTCTCTGAGTAGCTGGTAGTTGCGCAACATAAGCCCCTCTTTCTGGGTAACCAGGAATAGGTGAGAAACACAGCTGGTTCTTCCAGTGCTGCTCTGGCCCCTCTGACAGCCTTCATCTCCGCCAGGATCTGGGGTGGGATCCTCCAATTTCAGCACTTTCGCCTCCGGGGTTTCCAGATCAGATGTTGAGCTGCCATCATTCTTTTTCCTGCTGTTACTCTGACAATCTTTCTGTATTTGTCCTTCCACGGAATGGAGAACCTGAACATCCTCAAAGTAGAACTGCACATAGATACTGAAATGACAAACAATGAAAGCAATGAAATCTTCTCCTCCTGACAGGTAGCTGTCTAAAACTAGCAACTATCTGGAAGTAAGCGCTCAGCATATTCAAAAGAGAAGCAGGAAAGGGTGAAATGGAGGGCAGCTACCAGGCTGGATGTATT